TGTTATTGAACTGGGATATCATTTGATTGCTAGAACAGAGAATGGTGAGGTAGGTGAGTGGGTGGGTGGCCCCATGCATCACAGGTTTGTGGGCCTCAGAAGGAAATGTGGCTCTTGGGCCAATGAAGGTTCTTCACCCCTGCATTAACTCATTGCAATCCTTGCAATAATCCTGCACAACCTGTTTTTATACAAACCTATGGAGAAGCCACACATTGTGGAATACTGTGCACAGCACTGCTCTGGTCACCTCATCTCAGAAAGGACTTTGTAAAAGGTTCAGACAAGGGCAAGCAAAATTATCAAGGGGATGGAGCAACACCCCTATGAGGAAAGGTTACAACATTTGGGGCTTTTCAGTTTAGAGAAGAGTAAAAAGGAACACAAAAGAGGCATATAAAATTGTGCAAGGTGTGGAGAAAGCGGACAGAGGAAATTTTTCTCTCTCCCTCTCATAGCACTAGAACTTGAGACTAAATGTTGGAAGATTCAGCACAGACAAAAGAATGGACTTTTTTTACACAGCGCATGGTTAAACTTTGGAACTCGCTCCCACAGGAGACAGGCATGGCCAACAACCTAGATAGCTTTAGAAGAGAATTTCAGAATCACACAAAGGAGAAGGATATCACAAATTCTGTGTCCACTGCTGGGAGTCAGTATGCCTCTGATTACCAGTTGCTGAGGCTCACAACCGAGAAGAGTTGCTGCTGTACTCAGGTCCTGCTTGCAAGCTTCCTATTGAGGCATCTTATTGGTCACTGGGAGAACAGGAGGTTGGATTAAATGGGCCTTTGGCCTGATCCTGCAGTCAGACTTTTCTTATTATGTATTGTTAAATCATGTGCGACATGCCTCCCTATGCTCTGATCATTTATTTAATTAATTTATTTCATCCCACCAGTTGATCAGAGAAAAAGGAAGTTGACTTATGAGGAGTTGGGCAAGTGGTTCATCCAACTGCAGACACTGACTGGCAGTGGCTCTCCAAGGTATCAGGCAGAGAATCCCTCCCATCCCTAAGGGGAGATGCAAGAGACGGAGCATGGGACCTTCTGCATGGAAAGTGAGTGCTCTGCCACTGAGCCACAGTCCTTTCCAATTCACACAAAAGATTAACCACAATCAATTTCCATGCAGCTGAGATTAGCCCAGAAGCAAGCACATCCAACTTGAACCCGCCCTGATTTCTAAAGAAGGGCTCAAGAGGCTGAAGGTTTTCATTTCTAATGCTCAACCTTTTAAAAAAAAAAAAGATAAATCAAGACAACTGCCTCCTCAACCAATCACCATGGAGCCACAATTAGCAACGATTTGATATTTTTTCCCCTTTCTTAAAAAAAACTTTTCCAGATCAGAAGATGATCCCACCCCACAGACATAAAGCCCCAGGACCTATTTGTCACGCGAAGGCTCGGTCCTGCAAAACGTGAATCAGTCTGCTGCAGAAAAATTTTGGGTTCACTTTTGCAGCCCAACTCCCCAAGGTACTCTGAGTCACCTAAGTCAATGATCAGTCACATAAGAATGGATGGAGACAGGAACCAGTGGAGGGAAAGCAAGGAATACCTTTATTTTCCTGCTGCAACAGAGCCCGCCTTCCGCCCCGCAAGGAAGTGAGGGCCCGGAGCTAACAAGCCTTGGAAATGCACCTGAGCACCTACAGAGTGCTTACCCTCCTTCCCCCTTGGATGAACCCCACTGAGCAAACTTCCCTCCGAGGAAAGCCTGGCAGCACTCTCTTCTCTTGCACGGGAGTAAGCTTCCTGGAACCGAATGAAGCTTCCTGACTGCGACCCTGCTTACTCGGGAGTCAGCCCACCGACCCACCCGCCTCCACTGAGCTCAGCGAGATGCACTTCCGCATCACGGTGTGTTCCGGATTAGGTCTGCTTTACGCACGCTAACTTGGAAGGGAGCTTCGCCGAAGTGAGTGGGGTCCATGGCCATTAATTACGGTCTACTCCAGAGTAGCCCGATGAGATTTACTCGCCTAGGAGCAAACCTTCCCCGCCTTGAACTCATCGGTCATTTATTCTTGCGCGTAACTCAGCATTGCCAAGCGAGCCCCGCTAACCCTCTCCAAAATGCCCCCTAATACTTACTGGGCCATGGCGGCGACTCGGGAGGCTTAACTGTAGCTGAGACGAGAAAGGTAGGCGACTGGCGCTCCCAAAGACGCTTCCACTTGGAGCGGACCCGTCTAGGCCAGCCCACCGCAGGGAGGGGCCAGCCCTAGCCCAGCCTAAAGGTCTGCTGATCGGCTCAGGCGGACGGCGAGCATAGCCCTTTAAAGGCACAGGCTTCTGCCTTTCCATCCCTCTGTTGCGGTCGGATGGGAAATTTTTGTTTTCATTCTCTTTTTTTGGGCAATGATTCAAAGTCATGCATTCGAGGGATGGGGTAGTTCGCCGGCTCCCTTTCCCTCTCTCTCGGGCTGTAAGGCTTTATGCACTCAGCGAGCAAGGCTTCCCATCACTACCATGAATGGCACCATATTTAAATAGACTTGGGCGTATCTGCGATCTTGCCTCTTGCTTGCCAGATGTGTGCAAAGGTAAGCCACATTCTTACTCCACCTGCTTTTGTCTCTGACCCCAGCAGCACTATGCATTCAAAGCGCTGTCATACCACTTTAAACAGTCATGGCTTTCCCCAAAGGATCCTGGGAACTGTGGTTTGTTAAGGGTGCTGGGAGTTGTGAGGAGACCCTTATCCCCTTCCCAGAATGACAATTCCCAGTGTATCCTAGGAGGAAGAACTGATTGTTAAACCTCTCTGGGGACTGGCTTTGGGAGGGGAACAGCAGTCCCCAAACAACAAGCCAGATACCAGGATTCTTTGGGGGAAGCCTTGACTGTTGAAAGTGGTATGGTAGTGCTTTGAAAGTCAGTGAAAATGGGGCCTTTGTGATCTTGCCCAGTGCCCATCAATGTAAAGCCTCCAGAAAGTTCGCTGAAAGGGAATATGGGCTTCAAGCTGAAGAAAGTTCCCCACCTGTCAAAAATATTTGGATGGATTTGCAGTCAAACAAATGCAAAGCAGGTGTCCCACCACAGAGTTAAGACTATTGCTACAGAAGCAAGTTTCATGCCATGGAAACTACTTTATGGGAGGGGAGAGGGATCTTCATGAATCCTCAACACACCCCACACCCCACTTTTAGCCCCGCAGAATCTTCTAAAAGCAGTAGCAGGAGGTTGAAGAGCTCTGGGCTTCCTGGACCAATCAAAGGAGGCTTCTTACATTGAACAGCAGATGTTCTGCTGCTGAACCACCAAACACACCAAACACAGCAGCACATGCATGTCATTCCAGGCACATGATTTTATACACACATATGCTCGAGTGCGCCAGAGGCATGTTCACAATGGCAATTTCTGACTTGTGTGGCCTGGTCCCTCTGGCTTTCTCTTCCTTGTTTCTGGAGGTTATGTAACTTAAATCCCTTTGACAAGATCAGACAGTTCCCTGTTTGAAGTTCCCTTGCTGGGTGTTTTCAGAAATTTGACCTAGGGTACTTGCAGGCAGCCTGTTTATTGAGCATTCATTCTGATCTGTTTGCAGTGAAATTATACGACACTGGCTATTTCATGAGCATTCATTCCAATTTGTTTGCAAGGGCCTTAGATGACCATTGCATCAAAGCAAGAGTTATGCCATGCTCCCTAGCACATTTCTCCATCACTTTCCTTACCACAGAAAGTCCAGTACAGTGGTACCTCGGGTTAAGAACTTAATTCGTTCTGGAGGTCCGTTCTTAACCTGAAACTGTTCTTAACCTGAAGCACCACTTTAGTTAATGGGGCCTCCCACTGCCACCTGATTTCTGTTCTCATCCTGAAGCAAAGTTCTTAACCTGAGGTACTATTTCTGGGTTAGCGGAGTCTGTAACCTGAAGCATCTGTAACCCGAGGTATCACTGTATTTGGGGGAAATGAGCTTGTTGTGCAATACCTCCCCATCAGCTGTAATTGGGTCACCTGGATTTGCCGGTATGTGGTGTAGTGGTGTGTTGGCTTAGGGCCTGGAAGACCAGGGTTACTCAGTGACTTTGGGTCAGTCATAGTCTCTCAGCCTAACTTAATTCACTGGTTGTTATGGGAAGTAGGCAAACAGGACCTGAACACAAGCACATTCTTCCCTTTTGTGGTTTCCAGCAACTTTGGAGAAGAGCAATAGCCATCAGTAGCTCTCTCCATAAATTTGTCTAATCTTTCAAAGTCACTTGGTTTGGAGACCAACATTGTCTCCTGTAGCATCGAGTTCCATGGTTTAACTGCACTGTGTTAAGGGTGTAGCTAGCATCCTCACTGCAGCACCTTTCAAGTCCCAAGATGATGAGTGATGGCTAATCATAACTATTCTTTGTTTTGTTTATTTTCATATTAATAGCTACAAAAGAAGAGCAGATCAAAACATGTATGGACATTCTCTTTCCCTTTCCCTCAGTTGTTTTTAGTGGTTTCAAAAGTGCACTGCTCTACCAAGTACTAAGCCAGCAGAGGTTAAGAGCTTTTCCAGTTCTACTGGTCCTGAATGCTGGGAGTGAGCTTTCTGGTAAAAGTTCAGTACTAGGTGAAGACCTCAGGCTGGTGATACCAGATGTATTTTTACTTATTTAAATTAATTCATTTGTTACATTTATATTCCATGGTTTCTCCAAGGACCTCAACCTGGTATAGAAAGTTCTTTCCCTCCCCACCCCATCTAATTGGCCACTGTAGATTAGGATGCTGCAAGACTAGATGAGCCATTGGCCTGACCAGCAGGCTCTGCTTATGTCTCATGGCTATTTAAGGTAGGGCTGGGCAGGCTAGCAGGATGGACTTAGTTTCTTGGTATAGAGGAGGGGGAATCTGGTGCCCTTTCAGAGTCATTGTGCATTCAAGCCCCGGATAAATTACAGGATACACCTGCAAACAAACAAAACCACCAATTGGGAGGGGCCCAAACAGCCTCTTGAAAGAGGAGGTAAGAAAAGACACATGGAGCTGAAATTCGTTTAATCCACTGGCTTTTTAATCTTTATTTTTTTTCACCTCGTTCACTAACAGTTCAGTGGTGCAAGGTTACCATACACGGAGTTAGATATTGTTATCTGCATTGCACACCTAAAGGCTATACAGCAAGATGGATCAGAATTAGTACAAATACATGAACTATATTTACATTTTGTATACCCAAGCTCCGAACATCAGATATATTTACAAAATAAAACACGGGAAGGAACAGAAAAAGACAAAACGAAGTCAGTTAATAAAAAAAAGTACAGTGTTGTGAATGTATTCCTTTCAACCAGGGAAAGACTGATTTTTAATTTAAAAAATGAAAGAGAAGGGGTAAGGGATCGGTTCCAGAAAGCCACCTATGTTGTGCAGGTGACTGTGTTTGGTGGAGGGGTGGTCTGTGTTGACGAGGCGCATGTTTGTCCGTGGGCATCGGGAAGAAGGAACCACTTAAACATACAAATGCCCAATGAGAAAGACGTGTATGCGGAAAGCACATGGAATTTAGGTTGTCAATAAATAGGGGGAAGAAAAACAACACACAAGAACTGTTCTGGGTGGGATGAGCACATGTAATCTTTTCTAGCTTTAGCAGACGTCACTCAGAGCCTCCCTGGATGAGGAAAACGAGTCAGTCATATAGAAGGCAGAACTGCTCCCCTTTCTCCAAGAGACAGGGGCTGTCCCTCTTGCTCAACAACAACAAAAAAGGGTACAGGCTTTAAAACGAACACCAGCACAACCACAAGACTTCTTTCAAGTATTATCAGACTGATCATCAGTGGCTGCACTTCAAACTCGCAAATGGCCTCCTGAACCAAAGAAATTAAACATCTGCTTCTGCCGCACCCCCCACCAATGGCTGATTTTTCTAGTCTAGTATAAGGAAGCACAAATCTGGATACATTCCTGTGACGTCAGAAGGACTGACGGGTCCGTGGACATGGGCAGGAGGGCGAGGGTGAAGGTGAAGTGAGCCATCGTGGAGTAATGCGATACCCACATGCACGAGGTGAAGTCCAGTTTCACATACATTCACACAAAAAAACCCAGAGCAGCAAAAAAATTAGTTTTATTCCCGTTCTTTTAAAGCAGCATGTTAAAAAGAAACAAAACCAAGAGAATGACAAAAATCCAGCCAGCTGTTAATGCAGAGGAGGACTGTACCACTTGATGCATAGGCAGTAATAGACAGTATTAAGTGACAGCAGAACATGCCAAGGGGCAGATCAGCCCAGAGGATGTCCTGCTTTTAGTGTGCAATAAACTACAGATGCATAAATACACATTACTTTATATATACTTTAAAAACAAAAACAAATTAAATATTCCCTGTAAATTATTAGACAGTAAAGCAGCAGCGAATAAAGTCTTTGCTTTGAAATGCCCTCAGGGGGATTTGTGGGAGGGGTGTTTGGAGAAACCTTCCCACAGGTTTGGAGCCTGACACCCCATCCCCCTTCCGTAACATCCTGAATGGGGACACTGGCCTAAAAGGTTAAAGTGCATTGCTTCAAACGAAAACCCATATTAAAAGGTTCAGAAGGTTATGATTCAACTAATATATATATATATATGACTTTCAAGTTCTAACATTACGGCTCCCAGTGTGGTCAGTTTTTTGCTTTCATTAGGGGAAAAAATGTTTATTTGACTGAGAAAAGTGGAAATCCCACTAGGAGGTGCAAAAGGTGATCTCAAAGCTTGTTCTATGTTTGCAGCCCCATGCTCTGTGGGTTGGCTGGCCCATGGCATGGGGCAGAGCCTCCAGAAGGTAGGCGGGTCCTAAGAGCTGGCTGACTCTAGGACTGGGACAGTGAACAGAGCTTTGGCACCTCTCTGGTTGGATTCTCACCCTCTCCTTTCGCCATAGTTCACATTCTTTCCTGGAATTTGGAAAACTTGGGACCAAATTTAAGATGCAAGGGGAAACATTTCATTTCTGTTTGCTTGGGGGACATCTGGCCAAGAGGAACTATTTTATAATGGGCAAGGGAATGCTCACAGTGCCTGACCAGGGACTGGCTGTGAAAAGAAAAAATAACAATTTTGTGTGATTTTGTTTCCAAAGCAGATTATAGCTCTGCTCTTGTAATGGCCAATGCAGCAGTGGCTTAGAATGGATGTTTGCCCTCTTGCCGACCTGAGCTACATATATAAACCAACCTAAGCTGACCTAGTAGACATATGACCTTTACATAAGACACTACAATTCCCAGCTTATGAGTATGCTATGACACACCTGGTTTCCACTAGCATCCACTTGCTCTTCCTGCTTAAGAAGAGCCCCTTAATGCTTATATATAACCCCTGTATTTATAGTCCACCCATAGTGGCCTCCTTCCAAAAGCAAAGACTTTGCAGGCTAGTTTTGTTCCGAGTTTAAACAATAAAACAAATACATTAAAAAGTTATCTTAGTGTACACATAATATTTCCAGGAAATGTCCTCCCGGGGGGTGTTTCCTGGTTCCACACAGTTCGCCCCACTTTTGTTACTGGTCAGAGGCAGCAGATACGGCAACTTAGCACCCCACATAAAACCTTTTAAGTCCATCATTAAAACCATCACAGAATCGGCTTAGCTCCTGAACCAGCAGCCTCGATCGATGCGCACACACGTTGGCAGTGAGGAGTGTGTCCGTTGTATAAGGAACGTTAATCACTATGCTGAGACTTACACAATCAGAGTACATTGAACAAACAGACCCCATGCCATGATCTGGGCCTCCAAGGATGGTCCCTTTTTTCCCTGCACAGAGGTTGTACACAAGACCCACAGAAAGTGTCAGGAGGAGTTCCAACCTGAGCACTTAGTTATATGAGAGAGAGAAAGAGAGGAGGGTAATGTTAAAGAGAGCCCCTTCTGTCCTGGCGCTGCACCACTGCGCACTCCCTGATGTCACATGGCAGAGCCAAAACATTTTCTCCCCCACCCCCCAAAAATAATGCAGCAAGGTTGCTCTGTTGATGAAAAAAAATCCTATGGTGCTTAAAGCATGCATGTCTCTGTTCAGTACTGTGGTTTGTAGGTAAACTTCCTCCCTGAGCTGACCCCCAACTAGATGGCTTTTATAAGCTGCATAAAAAAATGCCAACATGCAAATTTGGTTCCTCTGAACCACAAGGTTGAAATTGCTCTTTAAATCACCTCCTTGATCACAGTGAGCCACAGGAGTAAAAGCCAGCTTGGAAAGGAGAAAGAGGAGGGCAAAGATGGCCCCACTGAAGAAAAATCATCCTAACAACACAAGTTCACCTCACAAGAAAGAGAAACTTAGAATCTTAGCAGGGAGCTCAAGAAGGGCTTGATTGTGGTTCTTACATACAGAGCATGAGGTCTGCCTGCACAGCTCCAGACTTCAGACACAGGCCTGCATGATGGAATGCTCCTCCATGTAAAATAATTCTAAGCATGCCAAAAGCTAGCATGTCAGGGAAAAGGGTTAGAATATTCTGGTTTTCTATGTTCAGGGAACTATTTTGATAGGCACAAGCATCTATTTGTGCAGGGCCCCAGCTTGTGATCTCAAGTGGCACAGCCCCAAACACTAGTTAAAAATCTCACCCGGTGTTCCCACAAAACTAGAGCTAAGAGACATCTAGAACAAGAGCATTTATGTAGGGAGACCTAGAACCCAGTATACGTAGGTGAGACTGACTGCTTCATGCCAGCATAAAGTGAACCTACCTTGGCTACCGAATTGCCCAAAATGTTTACAATCTTCAGAGTGAAGGGAAGAGTTCCAGAGTGGGACATTTGTTCCTAAATTAAAAACCTCTCCTACTCAGACACACAAAATGATTAAAAAGGGAAAGCATGTAAACAGGTTTGTTAGTTCAGATTATATGTTTTGTATACAGCAGAAAGCAGAGGTGTAGGGAGCTTGTTTTGTTTCAATCGTCTTCCTGAAGCACAAGGACCCCAATACAGCTCTTTTGCTCACATCTCAGCCTTTGCCAACCTGGTGCCCTCCATATGTTTTGGATAACTCCCATCAGCCCTGTGCTAGCTGGTAGAAGTTGGCATCCAAAACATCCGGAGAGCACCAGGCTGGCAAAGGTTATCTTGATTTGACTTTTTTTCTAAAAAAAAAGTGCAATGATTTGGGTTTTTAAAAAGAGTCTATTTATTTACTTATTTGTTGGGGGGGCTGGTGGGTTTTAAAGCAATACCCCACAAAAGCCAAGTTTTTGCAAAGTTTAAAAAAACCCTTCTTCCAAGAGGATACGACCACACTGAATCCCAATTTTCAAAGCCCTTGTCCTGTTCTTAAAGGAGCCATCAGAGATATCCTGCATAGATCCGACTAAGAGGAAAGTGGAAGGTGGGAGGTGGGGGAAGGTTTAACCTTTTGGAGATTTGGTGCACAGCTAAGCTGTGCCTTTCTGGACCCTTCTGGAGAGAGACAGATGGGAAAATGGGGGTGGCCGGAAGCATTCTGCTGCCTGAAGCAAAGGACAACTCGCTCCATATTTCCTATGTGCAGAAGCTGGGGATTGTAGGTGTCGTTCATGGTGCCTGAGGGAAGTAGGGCAGCAGAGCAGCCCACATGGGCACAAACCCAGAGCTCTGTCCTCTGTGTTAACCTAACTGCCACTGCCCCATCCCCACCAAAAACCACCTGCCTGTGAAGGTCAAATTGCTCTGCCTAACGACAGGACCAGCCTCACATTACTGAAGAACTCTGGCACAGAAGGGACCAGCATTGGCCAAGCTGGATTTTCACAGCTCAGCCAGCTATCTTTGGGCCTGTGACACATGTGCTCAGGCCAATGGGGGCCCATCTCAGCACACAGCAAGACCACAAGGGCAGGAACCATCAATCTCAATCTCCCCGTGCAATGCACGGTTTTTGCACCTGGGCACTGAAGGCATCTGAAAGGCAGTTTCATTCATTTGCTTGCATTGAGTGACGCACAGGCCAAGGGGAAGAAAGCAGAGCCTGGTGCACTCCAAAAAGTGATGGCTTGGAAAGGCCGGCTCAACCAATAGGCAGAGCGAGGCAGCTGCCTCAGGCAGCCAAAGCTAGAGAGTTGTAAGCAGTACAGTTCCATTCAGAGCAGACCCATTGAAATCAACTTACATTAATTGTGTCCATTAATTTCAGTGAGTCTACTCTGAGTAGGACTAACATTGGATGCAATCAACTGGGGGCAGGAAGTGGCGGAGATGTGTGTGTGTGTGTGTGTGTGTGTGTGTGTGCGCGCGCTTGCCATGTAGCCTGTTACTTGCCCTCTAAGCTAGCTTGCTGCCAGCAGATGCAATGGCCTGTTCCTGCCAACACTGAAGAAAGATTCAAGTTGGCTTCTGAATGTGGAATGGTTGGGGGGCAGGGATGGACAAAATGTCTTGGGTCAGCCCTGTCTGGCTGTAGCAGGTTCCCCCTTTATGACATGGGCAAAGGTGGTGGTCACTTCGTGAGCCGTGAGGCAGGGAGGCGGCCCTGAAATCTAAAAATTAAAAGTAGCAGGTTTTAAAAGCCAAAGTAGGCAGGGTGGGAAAGTGGTCCAAATTTGCCAGCAAGTCTGCTTTCACAAAAGGAGATTTGAAATATCTTGGTCGCACTCCAGGTGTGACCAGGGGGTGGACAAAGAGCTGCATTCGCCCATGTGCAGAGGACCTCGCCTTGAAAGCAGCAGCAGTGCAGAGACTTCCAAAACAAAAGAAAAGTATTCCAGACAGAGACAAACACATCACAGAGAGTAGCACAAAGTCAATTGGAATGAAGAAAAAGGGCATCCAGAGAAACAAAAAAGGGGGTGTCCCTTCTTTTTTTTGCCCAAAAAAGTCGTGCATATAAATTGGAAAGTCACCACCAACACTCCCCTCCCCCTTGTTACTTTCTTCAGTTTGGCCACATGCTACTAATAATATTTTCAGCACAGGTATGTGCATGGGGAGGGGTGATAAAAAGATGGTGGTGGGGTTTAGAATAGCTGGAGAAAGTGCTGAAGGGAGGATGGGGGGTGGGGAGAGACAGCGAGAGAGATGAGGAATGTTAAAGCCACAGGGTTGCATACAAGGAAAGAGAGAGAAATTCAAGAATCACAGAGAAATGAGAGGTAACGCTTTATCTATATCAGAAGGCGTGTTAAGAGATTTGGGCTGGAGAACCGGGTGAGAACCCCACAGAGACTCAATATTTCAGCTGTCCTGAGCGTCTTCGGGCAAGTTTGGACCTGTGTGGGAGAAAGGAGGAGCAAATAAGCAAGACTGCAACTCTTTCTAGCACTCATTTTTATACCCTCTTTTCTCACTGTGGGAACAAGGAATCTGAGGGTTGGGGGGCCACATATGGATCTACCCGGCCCTCAGCATCCTCTGCAGACCACATCCCACCTCCTGGCCACACCACTCACTGCCCCCTGCCCTGCACCCTTGTCAAGGGATTTTGCCTGGCTGGAATGTGTCCTTGAACTCTGATCACACCTTTTGTTTGCCTGGATGGAGCTGTGTCTGTGGATGGAAACCTCAGAATTTTCTGTCACTGGAATGTAACCCAAGAGTCACAGTTCCACCCATTTTTGCCTGGTTCCACCCACCACAGAACGTTACCCACAAGGGAAGGTGGCCCTTGGGCTGAGGAAGGCTCCCCGCCATACCGTATCGTGCCAGCAAGAAGCGGGTTGAAGGCATACAGCCAGTCATTCATATCTTTGTCGTTGATGGCCTGGAGGAGGACTCCGCGGTGCCTTGTGCAGACGGCAAAGGTGTTGGGTGTCTAGAATCACAAAGGCAAGCAGTCGCTCAGCAAATCCTCAAAAGCCCTTAAAGCAGCTATTTGATACCCGGTTTGCAAAGGGATCAGGGAAGGGCAGCATCTTTGTCTCCCAGTGGCCAAGATTTAGGTGGATTAAATGGCCCTGCCAAAACAAATCCTTTCTGATCTGTGTTGGAGAGTGTGTGTGAGGGGGTATAGCACCCTCATGGCCTTATCACCCCAATTTGATTTAGGAAAAAGGAGTACAGAAACATCTGCTACTGCATTCTTGCAGCACATGTGGGGATTGCAATAAAAGGTTGCAGTGTAGAGTGCCAACCAACCAGCCATGCTATCTTTTGAGATATTCCATTCCCTCTTCCCCCTGGGTTTTCTATTCCTTCACCTCTTCCTGAAGACACATAAATGGGAGGAAAGTGGAACTCTTTCCCTTCTCAACCCCATCCTGGCAGGTGCAAATGAATGCCTGAAAAGGCCTTTCCCTCTGGGGAGCTGATCTTATCCCTTTCATTAAAGACCCACATCCTATGGGAGGTTTGCAGTGTCCCCACCCTCCATTCAACTGACCTTCACCATGGCCTCTTGATCTTCACTGTACTCCACCTGAGCCGTGGAGAGGTTGAGAATCCCTCTTTCAATGGGGTCCTTGTCACTGTTGTAAATGAAGACGTAGGGGCGCCGGACCACCACAAAGTGCTTGGCCCACGATGGGGAGAGCGGCTCCTTGAAGTTCAGGTAGCCTTTCTTGGAGACCACAGAGCTAGAAAGAAATGGCAAAGAGGAAAGCATTCAAGGACACGGAGCTGGTTTGAGATGGGCTCCAAGAGGCCCCAGGCGCTGCAGTGAATCCACTGCTCACAGACCAAGAGGGCCAGATGGTTCCTTCTAGACTCCTTGGCAAAGTTCAGCAACGTTTTCTCCTGCCTACACCCATTCTCCAAGCACCTTCATTTTAAAATGAAGTGCAGCAACTGGGCCAAGGCATGAACACCATCCTGAAACAGCCAGCAGAGCCATCACTATTTTGAACAGTGGTGCGGAACCTGCGTGGCCCTCCCAGTGTTGCTGAGCTACAACTACCAACATCTCTGAACCTTGGCCATCACCCAGGAGGGCACAGCCTCAATTTAAGCCATGCATTCTCACCCAGGCTTACCTTCAAGCCATTCAAAGTGGCTGGACTTCGGCAATGTCAGATCAGGGATGGGGAAACCTGTGACCCTGCAGGTGTTCATTGGATTTTAATGCCCACCAGCCCTAGACAGCGCGGGCCAGATTGCTAGGGGTGATGGGAAGTGCAGTCCAAGAACACCAGGAGGGCCTGAGTTCCCCCACCTGCATGTTAAATGAAGCTGCCTGACATTAACTCAAGAATGCTGAGTCTACCTAGCCCAGGAGTTCCAGTTACAGATAGGTAGCCGTGTTGGTCTGCCATAGTCAAAACAAAAAAAATTCCTTCCAGTAGCACCTTAAAGACCAACTAAGTTAGTTCTTGGTATGAGCTTTCGTGTGCATGCACACATGTATCTGAAGAAGTGTGCATGCACACGAAAGCTCATACCAAGAACTAACTTAGTTAGCCCAGGAGTGTTAGTGCTCAATGGCAGCAGCTCTCCAAGGCCTGAGGCAGAGAACATCCCTTTTCAGTGGTGGTTTCCCAGTTATGGAACACCCTCCCTAGTGAGGTATAGCTGTCTCCATTGTTATTCACTTTCAAGAGGAATCTGAAAGCATTCCTGTTTACCCAGGTAGCAAGAGAATTCTTGTGGCAACTCTGAGATCAATGGATGGAAGGATGTCTTTGTTTGTAGTTACTTTTATAATTTTTAAAACTGTAACTGCTTTTAGATGTTTTTAATCATAATTGGTTTCAGAATGTTTAAATCTGTTTTAGAATATTTTCCGTTGCTTTTAAATTGTGTCTCTTTTTGCCACCCTGGGCTACTAGGGGAGGAAGGAAGGGCAATCACTCTATCAATCTAATACTCATCTTGACTGCAAATCCCATTGACATATATGGATACAAATTGCATACACACATATATGTGCACATACACACACCCCAGTGCTAAAAGGGTAGCTGTTGCTTTACTCTTGGCTCTGGAACATGTGTTGGGTTTTTATTTTTTAGCAGCTACTGCAGTGTGAATGTCTCACCCAGGCCTGATTTCCTCAATATCTGGAACAAGGTTCAGGAACTCATTTTTGCCTGCTCTCGCCAGGTAAGAAGCTTCAATGGGTGGCATCAGCTGGAAGGGTGGCTCCCCCTCTGGGCCAGGGCTGGAGGCTCGAGAATTTGCTTCTGGGGTCCTTTTGTTAATTAAGAAAGAAAAACAAATGGTTGTCATTCAAAGCAAGGAGCTGGAGAGGCAGAAGAATCAAAGAAATCAGCTTAATTCAGGCACTGATCTGGTTGGCTTGTATTGCCAAACCACTAGGTTTATATGTATAAGCCTCTCCCGTCTCTTCTGCAAAAAGACTGGGAGCATCTGCTTCTATTCAAGACACTAATCTACATGGGAATGAAAAGCAGAAAGAAAATAATGACGTAAAAGCAGCAGTATGGGCATGATCAGATAAGCTAGCTCCACCTCTTGAGCAGCTGCCCAAAGATAGCCGGTTACCTAGTTGCATAGGAAGGTGCCTTACACTAAGCCTGACCAATGGTCTATCTAGCTCAGGACTGTCTGCGCTGACTGGCAGAGACTCTCCAGGGCTTCACTCAAGGTGCTCTTCCCAACCCTACTAGGAGATGTCATTGGGGACTGCACCTGGAACCTTCTGCATGCAAAACCAATGCTCTATCACTGAGGTCTGGCCCTTTCCCTAGCAATTCAAGGACCCCCCCCCCGAGGCCCTAGCATTGCCCAGTGCCTGGATGTACCAGGACTAGCAGAGGGAAAGTAATGACCAGTGGGAAAGAGTGAAATAAGTTCACAGACCAGAGGAAAAGCTCAGTAGGCCTGAAGAGGACTGCAGATTGCCTACTGAGGGACAGAAGCTTAGAAGAAACAGAAACATCTATCAGCTCATAAGAAGAGCCCTGCTGGATTTGTCCGAAGTCCCATCTAGTCCAGCATGCTGTCCTCACAGTGGCCAACCAGATGCCTCTGGGAAAACCCTCAAGCAGAACTTGAGGGCAATAGCACTTTCCCAACTTGTGGTTCCCAGAAAACTCGGGGGCATCCTGCCTCTGTCAGTGGAGGCAGGACATGTATCACTGGTGGCAACCAACTCACTTTTGATCCACTGAGTTGCATCTTGAATCAGACAAGGAGGGGCAGGTCGAGGAAGGCGTGAGGGTGGCGCTGCTGAAACTTGATACCGACGGGTCCCGCCCAATTGGAGAGATATCGGACAGCTGGAAGAACACAAGAGGCTGGCGGTGAGCTCTACAGAGCCTGCCAGGATTTTTTAATAAAAGAATAAATGAACAGTACTGCATGGGGTGGTCAAACAGAAGCCCCAAGAAATCTCACTGGACACTGGATAGGAGGGGTTTTCAAACTCAGTGTTTTGGACACTGCCGTGGGCTTTGTACCTTGTTGGTCAGCTCTTTCTCCCGATCCATCAGGCTTTCAATGTCTGCTGAGTAGTAGCTTGAGCATTTCCACCCCAGTGCTAAATGTCCTGCATTTTTCCTCTTAACGTTTTGCAAACCTACCTTACAATCACTGATGCTGTTGTAGACCTGGTTAAATTCACGGTTGAAAGTGTGAGTAAGAAGCTGCAGGCACTAGAAGAGAAGAAAGAAGCATCTCTGTTAGCACTGGGGACAAAGGAGGCGATGGGAGGCAGCTGGCCTTCAACCCAACCCACAGCTGGGTCTGCTGGGAGGCTGTTGAATGTGGTCTTCCTGCAGTGGTGGCTGGTGCCCCTCAGAATTGGTACAGCACAATGCAGTGAAAGCTACAACAGGTGGACATAGAGTCTATGACAGGCAGAGCCTCCTTCTAAGCAGATGTAAATAAATGGGAGCTTGCTGAGTTTGGGGGGGGGTAGTGCCCAATTAATCCCCAGTGGACCAGCCTCCACTGTCCTGTAGACCAGAAAAAAATGTGTGGTCTTGAAAAGATTTTGCAAGAGGGTTCCATGTATTTAATGCCAGACGCTAGCTAACCACATCCATTCACACCCCAGCAGCAAAAATGTTTCAGACCCACATAAACCTCCAAAGCTGTGGAGCAAGTGGGGCAGCTTGTGTGTTTTGTTGGTTTTAGGTATTCAAATGTTAGGGGTGGCAACAGGATGTGTAGAAACAAAAGGCTGCTGGCTTGGGTTCAAATTCCCTCCTGAGACAGGATGTTTGTGGGGTAGCCTTGGGTGCTCTCTGGGATTAACCTTCCTGAGAGAAGAAAACCTTGACATCTTCTGGTATTCAATTGCCGCATTGTGGACATGGGCTTTGTACCTTGGTGGCCAGCTCCTTCTCCCGATCCACCAGGCTCTCAATGTCTGCTGAGTCGTAGCCGCTGCTCTCACTGGGCGTGACAGCACTCTCAAAGGTGGTGGAGGAGATCTGGGAGGAGATGCTGGTGGAGGTGCTGAGGGTCCCGCTGCTGAGGCTGGGGGACAGCGAGTCGCTCAGGGACTTGGGGATGCTGTCACCCAGCTTCTCCCGCAGCAGCAAGAAGTGGCGAGTCTTCTCGACCTGAAGAGCAAGAGAAATGGTATCAGCTGCAGTGGAGAAATTATTGATACATACACTGATAGATAGTCTAAGATGTATGATAGCCATTTTCAGATATCTAGCTGTCACATGGAGGATGGAGCAAGCTGCTTTTCTCCTGCTCCAGAGGGTAGGATCCAAACCAATGGATTCAAGTTACAAGAAAGGAGATTCTGACTAAACATCAGGAAGAACTTTCTGATGGTAAGAGCTGTTCAACAGTGGAATGGATTCCCTTGGAAGTTGGTGGGCTCTCCTAACAATGGCAGAAAAAGAGAAGTTTCAGAGTGAAACAGGTTTAGTAATAACAAAAAAGGTGAAGTACCTGGGTGTGAACTTGACTTCTAAAAATGTGAATTTATTTAAAGACAATTATGACAAATGTTGGACAGAGGTGAAGAAAGATCTAGAAATATGGTCAAGGTTGAGACTCTCCTTGTTAGGCCGAATTGCTGTCATCAAGATGAATGTATTGCCTAGAATGTTGTTTTTATTCCAGACACTCCAGATCTTGGACAAGATGGACTGTTTCAAGAGGTGGCAAAAAGACATATCAAAATTTGTCTGGCAGGGCAAAAAGCCCAGAATAAACTTTAAGATCTTAACTGATGCAAAAGACAGAGGGGGGTTTGCCCTGCCGGACCTAAAACTTTACTATGAATCGGCAGCGTTCTGCTGGCTGAAACAATGGCTGCTTCTTGAGAATACAGACATTTTGGATCTGGAAGGGTATGACAATAGATTTGGTTGGCATGCATATATATGGTATGACAAGGTAAAAATGCATAAAGGTTTTAAAAACCATATTGTTAGGAAAGCATTGTACAATGTCTGGATAAGATATAAGGATTTATTGGAAAGTAAAACTCCCAGGTGGTTATCACCAATGGAGGCTAAAGAGACTAAAAAACTTAACATGGAGTCCAAATGGCCAAAATATTGTGAAATTTTAGAACAAGATGGTGAAAGAGTTAAATTACAAAGTTATGACAAATTAAAGTCTAAAGTACGAGATTGGTTGCATTACCTTCAGATAAACGAGGTATTTAAACAGGACAGGAAAATAGGTTTTCAGATGGAGAGGTCGAAATTAGAAACAGAATTGTTAGAACCCAATACTAAGAACTTGTCAAGAATGTATAATTTGCTGCTGAAATGGAATACACAAGATGAAACGGTAAAATCAGCTATGATCAAATGGGCACAAGACATAGGTCATGACATTATGTTTGATGATTGGGAACAGTTATGGAACACAGGTGTTAAGTTTACGGCTTGTAATGCTTTGAGAGAAAATATAATGAAAATGATCTACAGATGGTACATGACCCCAGTCAAACTGGCAAAAATTTATCATTTGCCCAATAATAAATGTTGGAAATGTAATGAGACTGAAGGTACTTTCTACCACCTTTGGTGGACCTGCCCGAGGGTTAAGGCCTACTGGGAAATGATCTATAATGAAATTAAAAAGGTCCTTAAATGGACATTTCTTAAAAAACCAGAGGCTTTTCTCCTGGGCATGGTGGGCCAATTGGTGCCAAGGAAGGACAGAACTTTTTTCATGTATGCTACTACAGCGGCAAGAATTCTTCTGGCAAAGTATTGGAAGACGCAGCAGTTACCCACTCTGGAAGAATGGCAAGCGAAGGTGATTGACTACATGGGAATGGCGGAGATGACCGGCAGAATCCGTGACCAGGGGAGTGAGACAGTGGAAGAAGATTGGAAGAAATTTAAAATATATCTTAAAAATTGTTGTAACATTGAGGAGTGCTGAGATGTTATGGGGTTAAGAAACAGAGAACTGCAGTTGTAAATCATAAGTCTAAGGAAATTATAATGAAGATGAGTCAATTAATTAAATGAAGAGTTGCTGTGAAAGGTAAAAATAAGGATGCAGAAAAAGGGAGGTATGGGGAAGTCCGGGAAGTAAGGTGAAGGAAAATAAGTTTATGAAATTATACATGTTTATTTGTTTGTATGTTTTGTTCTGTTTTATTGTTTGTTTTTATTACATGTTTGGAAAATTAATAAAAATTATTTATAAAAAAAAAAGGAAGTTGGTGGGCTCTCCTTCCTTGGAGGTTTTTAAGCAGAATTTGGATGGCAATCTGCCATGGATGCTTTAGGTGAGATTCCTGCATTGCAGGGGATTGAAATAGATGACCTGTGGGATCCCTTCCAACTCTATAATTCTATGATGTTGGGGAAAGGATGATGTAGAAAGAATCAAGACATCTGTGAAGACGTGTGAAGGAATTTGCTGACACTGATGGATAGGTTTATGGCCTTGTTCTTCCTGTGATGTTACTTTTTGCTCTTCTGATAAGTTCATTGCCTAAATACCTAATTGTGAACTCTGCCTGTTGACCTAGAAAGCACGCACATGCTTTGATATTTAATACGTATGCTTATAGAAGTTGATCTGTCAATAGAGGCCTTTGGAATTCATTCCCCAGTGGCTGTTGCTATAACCAAAATAAAGCTGACTTAAACATCACATCTGGTGTGGTTAATTGAAGAAAAGCCATTCCAGTGTCCAAGGTGGTCTTCCTCTCTCTGACTTTTGCATCACAAACTCTTCTTACTTCCCTGCCAAACCACATACAGTGTTTGTTCCAAGGATTCGGGGACTGAGACCCCAAATCAGAACAGCTAAGTAGTAAAGGGAAGCATGTGGAGATTACAAGGCAGCTAAATAAGTAACAGGCAGCTTAACTGGCAGCTTTTGGCCACTACATCTCACGGGTGGGTGGGAAATGACAAAGCCAGGCCTTGCAGAAATCCCAAAGGCTGGTTCTTTTGAAGCCACTGCTCAACACGTACCTCGTGCAACAGCTCCAGCTTCTCCAGCTCCCACTGGTGCTCCAAGATGAGGCTGTCTCCACGGGGCCTCCACCCGGCCAGGTTCTCTTCTCCACGGACATAGGCCACAGAAGTGTCCAGGACTTTCCTCCTCCTCCTCTGCATCCCTGAGCAATGAAATGGCTCAACAGTCACCCAAAGGAATTCATACCAGTGGCCAGGAGCCGACATCGCCACTCCCTGTTCATCCCACAAGTCATACCTCGCGCTCCTGCCGAAACTCTTGGCCATCTCAGTCGTTCCCTTGTTTCCTCCCTGTCATACTCCCACACAATAAATAGCACCACCTGGCTGCAGCTGAACCAGGTGAAACCACAGCCCTCTCTGACGACCTGATAAGGACCAGCTGACATTTGTTTGGCTCGTCCTCTCTCATCAGCAGCCAACAAGGGAGGCCTCCTCTGTTGGCCTGGCTGGGGCCAAGAACCTTGCAGCTCCCCCCCGCAAAGAACTGTCTTACACTGGCCATTCCATCTGGTCATTATATCACTTCATTATGTAACATTATGAAAGTTTGGGCTGCCTTAGTTTGCTTATTGTTTTTTTCTCCCTTTTCCATCCTGTCCTTCAGAAGGTTCTAAAAAATGAAAAGTGCCTTTGCAGAATAAACAAATATAGCAGATAAACCAATGAAGATGAATGTGACTGCTTGCATACTTTTATGATAATGTGGAAAGCTGTGCCTTCCTATTACCTGGGCTTCCTGTGTCTGCCATCTTGCATAAGCTCAGCTCATAGATCCCAGTGACTCGATTGCTGTTTGCACAGAATAAAGCAGAGGAAATAAAATAATATTTTCAGATATAAAGAAGGTAAAGCAGCCTTCAGCAACCTGGTACCCTCAAAAGATTTTGGACTACAAGGTCCATCAGCGCCAGCCAGCAGAGTCCAGAATCTCATGGTTCTGAATGAAAACGTCTGGTTTAAATAAAACACAGAGGGAGCTCTAATCCCTGACCATTGACCATGCTGGCTAGGATTGATGGGAGTTGTAGTCTGATAGTATCTGGAGGATGACAGGTTCCCCACTCCAGGCTTATTGTAGATAAATAGGATATATCCTAAACATGAATATATATGCCACCCACACTCACACTACAGATAGGAATTCATTACAAATTCATTACACTAAACTAAGATCATCATCATCATAATTATTAGTGTTGCATTGTAATGGTCAAGGCAGATCTCTGTGTGTTGCCTTTCAGCTAGATCTACTATTTTCTGTGCATGTACTGGACAAATGATTTGGACTGTTTCAATATCTTCTTTCAGACTGACTTAAGTTGTGTTTTCCTTGAAATTCCACTATATGTAACAAACCACGACCATCATCTGAGGCCCTTGTTCGTGTGCTTCCTCCATGAGAGGTTCAGAGGAATGGGCCTTTTCTGCAGTGGCGCCTCACTTTTGGAATGCTCTCCTCAGGGAGGCTCACCTTGGCTAATTAAACAATCTATGGCCTTTGAAACTTGGGGGGAGGTGTTTTGTTTGTTACTATGGTGTGCATTTTTGTGCTTTTATATTATAAGCTGTCCTGTGATCCTCAAATGAAAGGTGGTATGGAAAAGTCATAAATAAATATAATAAACGTGCACACCATTCTCTTGAAACTGAAACACCTAGTGTTTTCAGTGTTCCCAAATGCTTAGCTTTGGAGCCTATAGAACAACAACAGCTTGGTGTTCTTCCCATGTGCCTTCTCCAGAGTGAGCCCAGGAGCCAATCCTCAGCAGCTGACTCACCTCCTTTCACTCTGATTGGCTGCAATGAGCACAAAGGATGAGAAGAATTCTTCTCAGTGGCTATTGCAGACCCTCAGCGACCCTGGACCACGATACCACTGGGAGGCACCCATCTCCACACCTCATTTAATCAACAATCCCTGCAGAACAGCAAGCTGATCCATTCAGAATCCACACCCCTCAGCCCATACACACAACGCTCATACATGAGCCAACTTATTCAACTTACGAATCTGGAGATTTGGAATAGCCACTGCCAAAGAGACTGCGCAGTGAGCGAGGGGGTGAAATCTTGGCATCTCGAGAGTAGAAAACCATGCAGACATCCTTGGTGATGACAGCTGGCTGGATGCAGTGGTCCAGCTGAAAGGAAAAGAGAGCCATGCAGCTGTTTACCCTCTCAACTAAACCAGTGTGCAAGTGTTCTAGGACTAACACTGGGTACCACCCTCTGTCAGATATTTTCTTTCACCTGATTCCAGATCCAACCAGTGTGGGGGACATGAGATAACTCACCTCCAGGTAAGCTGAGAGGGTCATGTAGATCTTCTCCCCATAGGGGGTCACCCGGTTCAAAAGGAGGGAATTATGGAGGGAACTGTCCCAGACTGCCTCAAAACGGTAGAAAGTCCTGAAGGGAACAGAACAGAAACAAAGCCATGGTTTTTTAAAAAATGGACCTCTGAGCAGACCACTGACAAGCATTGTTGTAGAAGGCCTCCCTTCTTTGGTCAGAGGTAGTGGTCTCCTCCCAGCAATAAAAATAGAAGCTTTTGGAACTGCATCTAAAACTAGGTGGGGCATGTGCCTCATAAGACAGCAATATACAATTATTTATTATTGTTACTACTAATATTATTCTTGTGTGCAACAGTGACTCCTAGGATAGGCTAGCCAGCATGGAAACAAAAAGGGTAACCAGATCTTAATTGGGAAACCACAATCTGAGACAGTACAAGGAACACAAGGAGGAAAAGAGGGCTCCGTGTGTGTTTTTCATTTGTTCAGCTGACAAATGGAGCATCTGTCGCCTCCTGAACACAGTGGGGAAATGAGGAGAAGACAGAATACTCGAGTCACACAGCAGAGCTAGGAGATTTGCTAAGGACTAACTACTGATGGGAAAGGGAAGAGGCATAACAGCATTCTGTTGAAGCCAGAAGCTGTATGCACAAAGGAAAACAAACTGAAAATACCTAGGCATATCCTTATCAAGGAAGAGCCTGTGAAGACACAGAAAGCTTTTATTAGTGCAGCCCAAAGCAAGAACAGCAGAGAGGGAGAAGAAACAAGCAGACAAAGAAAACAGAAAAAAAGAAAGGATAGGCAAGCAGCAACCCAAAAAAAACCACATTCATAGATAACACTTTTTTAAAAAGCAAAAATAAATTGTTACTGCTCCCACATCCCCAAAGATTGAGCCAAACCCTGAGCTAAACCTTTGACTTAGCCAAAGGTCCACACCATACTATTAAAGCAAACTTATACTACTTGGCTTCTCTGCCAAAGAATCCTGGGAAGGGTACTTCGTTAAGGGCGTCAAGAGAGTTAGGAGACCCTGCATTTTGCAGAGCTACAATTCCAAGCACCCTTAAGAAAACTACATTTCCCAGGATTTTATTTTTTTATTTTTATTTTTTTTGCAGGGCGGGGGCAGCCAGGGCTGTTAAAAGTGGCACAATAGTCCTTTAAATGTAGTGTGTGGATGTGAGCTGATAGAATAACCAGTCTAGTGTCAGTACCTGTTTCGTGACACAAGAGGGCAGCATCACATCTGCAAGCTGGGAGTGCACAGCTGCCTTTGTCTAGTGAGGGAAGAGGAAGCTGTTGTTGGAACTCCAACTCCCATCAGCCTCAGGAATCATGCCAATGGGTGGTGGGAGCTGTAGTCCAACGAACACCATATCGTCCCCATCCCTGCTGTCGTCCAAGAAGGGGGGCGGGAAGGGAGTTGTGTCCAGGATGCCTAAACAATAGAGACCAACAGCTAATATGTTCTTCTACCCCATGACTTTTAAGCAAATAATGAAGCGTTAATTCTTCCAGGGTGGAACTACTTTCCGAACGAGTTAAGAAGTGAGAAGAGATACACTTACAACCCTTTCTTCTGAGTTATTTTATTTTATTTTAAGTTCAATCCACATTGGCTCAGGATACAAGGATTTAGGCTTGGGGGTCCTTTCTGACAGACAGCTTCAAATACCTGACCTAGGTGAGTCAAGAGGAGAGGGTTCGCCAGGCGGGCTGTTGGGGAAATCCTATTACCTGTTAGAGCTGTGGGAAGTTCTCAGGTATTTTGCAGAGATGATATTCAGAGACAGGATCGCATCCACTGCAGCTTCATCTACTTCGGCTTTGTTTCTGATGCGCCCTGAAGAAAAAGTGGAGGGAGTCAAAATGCAGGATGGGAATTTATTTAGCTTAGAGCCACACTAGGCAGAAGCAGTGTCCAGGTGGAAGGCCGCTTGACCTTTCGGTGAGATTGGGAGCGTGAATTTCTCCATGGGTCCACATGGAACAGCATCTTTAATGGGAGCAGATGCTGCTGGTGTTCTTGCAGAGGAGATGGGAAAGGTTCAAGCACATAACCCTAATTGCTTGGAAATACAAGCCAACCAGGCCAATGTCTGAATAAAGCTGATTTATTTTGGTAAAAAGCAGTTTTCTTTTCTTTCATTCATTCATATCTATATATAATCTATAGATCTATATTTGCTTAATTGAAATAAACAAAAGAAACATTCTTCATCATCCATTAATACAAAAATATAAACAAATCAATTAAAAGAAAGAAAAAAATATCTAATACAATAGAATAAAGAATATCTTCTTACTTTACGTACAACTTCCCATCCACTCCATATTTCACATATTCATTATTAACTTATTGCCAAAACTTGTCAGATTGTTATCAAAGCCTAAAGTATAAATATTTAATTATCTGTGGTCTTGATTCTTACTACCAACTACTACAGATGTTATTTGAATGCTACAACAGAGTTGTATGCGACAATTATTTTTCAAATATATTTTAACTACTTCCCACTTAGAAATGAATTAATGTTTTGGTTTATTTTTCATTTTTCCGATAAACTGTCCAACTCTGCATATTCAACCAGTTTTTGAATCCATTCTGTCCTAGAAGGAACATTGTCACTTTTCCAAAAAAAAAAAAAAGAGAGAGAGAGAGAGAGAGAGAGAGCAGTTTTCTATGTTCATACCTTCATATGCAAGTTTCTCTGACACTCACACAGGTTCTGATCCCACCCTCCGCTCTCTCCCAATTGCCCAAATTCTCAACAACTATCCAGTCATTCCATGCTTCCTTAAGCTTCACACTTTCCCTCACCATAACATTCCATACTCAGAAGTGATCTTCCCAAACACTAAAAAAACCCAAAATGGCTTGTTGCATTATTTATTTACTTACTACATTTCTTGGCCACTTTTTTCTCCAAAGAGTTCAAAGTGGCGTGCATATCTCTCCCCCTCCTCAATTAATCCCCACAACAACCCTGTGAAGTAGACTAGGCTGAGAGAGACAGTGACTGGCCTCAAGGTCACACCCAGTGAGCTTCAAGGCTGGGGGGGGGGGGAGGAATTTGAACCCTGGTCTTCCAGGTCCCATGCCAACGCTCTAGCCATTACACTACACTGGCTCTTACACAGCACACATCCATTCCTTCCTAGCCAGGGAAAACAGAAATGATGGTTTTAAAAAAGGCTAACATGAGACTGATGAGCGTTCAATCAGTGTGGTCATTTTGGTATATTGAGGTGTATTTGGAAGAGAGCTGGCACTGCTTGCAGAGGGGCTGCTGTTCTTTTGAATGTGAAACAGTCTGAAGAGGAGCCAGAATGGATCCTGATGGTAAGAGAAAAGTAAAGAGAGGGAGGAGAACTTACCAACCACCAGCTCTCGCACGTCCTTCCAGTGTAGCTCGTTTCCTTTCTCGTGGATGATGGTGACTGTGATCCGGCGCTGGATTCCCTGGAGGAAATGAAGGAGCAAAACTTAAGTCTCCTCTGCAGCTTTATAGCAGGGCTGCAACAATTAGCTGGTCGGATGTAGGGTGGGAAACCTGAGGCCCTTTGAAGGTTGCTGGACTCCAGCTCCAATCAGCCCCCAGCCAGCAGGGAGAATAATCAGGGTTGATGGGAGCTGGAGTTGGAAGCTGAACGCTGGAAGATTCAGGGCAGATAAAAGAAACAGCTTATTCACTCGGCACATAGTTAAACTATGGAACTCACTCCCACAGGGGGCAGTGACAGCCACCAACTTGGAGGGTTATAAAATAAGATTGGACAAATTTATGGTGGATAAGGCTATCAATGGCTAGTAATCACAATAGCTATGCTCTACAGCCACAGTGGGAGGTACTAATGCTTCTGAATATGACTGTGAGAACAGGATGCTGGCCTGGATGGGCTGGCCTGATCCAGCAGCCTCTTCTCATGCTCTTGTATGATAAGATGTCTTTCTGCTTACAGACAGAAGACCTGGTAATATAGCAGACCCTCAGACTCAAGCATCGGAGTACCTGGTGAAGCAAAAACGTCCCCTGGCAAGGTAGACCTCCAGTGTGATCAACAATAGCAGGAATGTATCTGCAGAGGAGAAAAAGAAGAGTGCAAACAGCCAGATGAGAGAAAGAAAGAAGGACACCTGCATAATCAGAGAGATCATTTAACCAACCTTCTTTCTAAAGGATTCATGGGAAACAGCATCCTAACAAAAAACCCATACAATGGCCTGCACCTCAAAAATAAGGTGAGGCAGCCTGTTCTCCTCTCACAATTACCAGAAAGGGGGAGGGTCTGAAGAGCGTGATGAGAACCGGATGTACAGGACTGCATTGCACCACAGTAAAGCAAGTCACAATTCAGCACCACAAAGAGCCAAATTCCACCACTTGTCTATAAATAATGTGAATTGTGCTATGTGCATGCCCTCTCTTCTTTTGCATAATTTGAAATGTTGCTAGCCATGGAGAGGGCACAAGCAGAAATGCAGGACTACGAGTCCACACAACTTCAACCCCTGGAATATGTGAAGGCAGAGTTTCCCAGGAAGCAGTCTCTTATGTTCCCACAGGATCATAGTAGAACAGCCCCCTGCAGATAGAAAGGGTTGTTCAAGCTATTCAAGCATTCCAATACCCATGTGGCCACCAGGCTAGCTTCAAGGCTCTTGTCTTCATTTACAAGGCCCTTAACAACTTGAGTCCAGGATACTTTAAGGACTGCCTGATTCCTTATATCCCTGCCCAATCACTGAGGGCTTAAGGAGTCACTGTTTGTGCCCACCCCACAAAGGCTCCGACACACAGCTCACACCCATCAGGAGCCATGAGTTCAGAACAGTGGGCTGAATTCTGCAAAACTCCCTCCCAGCTGATATCAGAACTCCCTATTGAACTTCAGACATCTGGCTTAATTCAGCAGCTATTTTAAGTAAGCTTTCTGATTTTACGGTAAACTTCAATTGATTTTCTCTCTACTGTAATCTTACAACATACTGCTTAGATACAACGATGTTAAGCAGGATATACACTGTTGGAATAAAACAAACACAGGAGAGATGAGGAGGAGATGGAACTCACTCTCCAGTCGGCTCCAACTCGCTGATCTCAAACCAGACAAGGAGGTCATATTTGGTCACGCTCTGTCCCAAGTTGGGCTTACTCACTGTGTTGAGCTTGGTAGCTGGGACTGAAAGAGAAAAAGGCCAGCTTACAAAAACTGCACAAGGCAATAGGAAGGAGAATTCCTTGGGATTATTACCAATGGGTCACACAATGACTCAGTTCACACGTCATAGTAAACCATGGTTTACTTTGATCACACCTAAGAGGGTCACACTGGATGGAAATAAACCACCACACCAACTTAGTGTCACCAAAACTCAAACTGGGGAATCTGGCTAACTTTCCTCCAAATAAACCACAATCAGTAAGCCTTAGCTACAGAATGTGATTTGTTCAGACCTAAACAAATCATACCCATGGTTCATTCGTAACATCAAACTGGTGGGTGTGGTTTGTTTCCTTCAAGCGTTAGCTGGGAGGAGTGAAGTGGGAACTATTTCACTTCTGTACAGTAAAGCTATGGTTTATGGCTTACCAATACATGAAAATACAGCTACTGTCAAGGTTGTCAAGCCTGAAACTGATGCTCCAGGCTCCACAAAAGGATTGTGCCCCAATCTGAGGTGGGTTGCACCATGGTATTATTATACCACCAGTACTTTCCTCCTTGCCGTTGGAGTGAATGGACATGGCCGTTAATTTCAATGCATCTACTCTGAGTAAAGTTTAGTAGGATCAAGTCCTTAATCCCCATAGTTACAATAACTCTACAATGAAAAGGAAGAGAAACTAAGGATTCTAATGAGGTCCTGTAGGATTCACAAGACTGTACCACAAAACTACCACCACAAAATCCTGGAAAGGCATATATAACTGCCCAGTGCTGGCCTTTCCCTGGACACACCACCGATGGATGCAGAAAGGCCAGGGAAAAGGTAAGGAGGGGCTGTTCCTACATCTATCACAGACGGTATCTGGCTACTAACCATCTCGCTTGGGGAAGCGCTCGGTCTGACAGCTGGGGACAGGCAGAAAGAGAAAAGGTGGCAGCTGGTCGGCCCCATCCTGGAAAGCTGCCGCGGCAGAGGAGGCAAGCACGTTGGCGTGCTCGGAGAACGTGTTCAGCACATGCACGTTTACATAGCCAGACATGAGATACCTGATCAACTCAATTTTTCTCTCATGGTCTGGAAAAGGCAGTGGGAGGAGGAGGATGTGACAAGTAAGGGATGAAGGGCCAGCAGGCAATAGGGAGGCGAGGAGGGGAAAGGGACAGACCAAGGAGATTGGGAGCAGGAGAAGAAGAGGGGAGAAATGAACACAAGAAGTCAACATGCACAACCAAAACGAAAAACAAAGAAAGATATGGGATTGTTGCAGCAAGCTTGGGTCAGTGAGTTATTAGTGAGAATGGAGCTCTGTGGATGAGGAGGAAGCTAGTCTTTAGATAAATCAACATCTACTAAATATTTTGAGAAATTGTTTCTACAATCTGCATTTGGACACCACTTAAGATATTGTAACCAAATTTTGCACAGTGGTTCCCAAGATCTAGAAGGTTTTTGTATATGTTTAGATACAACCGGATGCCATTTTGAATCAAGAAGGGCAAACTAAACCTTTCAAAACTGCACTGATTTTTTTGGTTTCTCATAATTCCTGAGCATCACCGGATAGAAGGCTGCTATAAATAAATAAAGCAGGCTGAATGACGTGTCTGGAATCGATGAGTTGCTTACTCAACCAGCCCCTCAACCCTTAAAAATACCTCCCTGGTTTGGAATATGAACTGAAGGGAACTCCGCAGGATTACAAACAGATGCTCATCTGCATCCAGGTAATTACATAGGGAAGTTGTAGCAAATTTGGGTCTTCTTGTTCCCCGCCCCTTCGAGTCGAAAACGTAAGTAGATGTCAGCAGGTAGGAGAATAAATGATTTTGTGGGCAAGAAACTTCTATAACAAAAAACAAGAGTAAACTGGGATTCCCTCAGGAAAACGGTTCCATATTCTAATTGATTTTCTTTTCTTATATTGCAGGCTGAAGACAGGTAGGCAGTCTTGCATTTTACATACACTAACAGAGACGAGTCAGTGAAAAGTTGTTCTTACCTGGTTTTGAGAGAGGCATGGGGGGAGGGAAGTATCGGCGGGATGGCTGTCGGGGGCTGTGGAGAAAGGAAGCAGGTTAATCCTCTGGAGGTCCTTCCCAACCCTCATTGTAATATGGTGCTAGATTCAGGTAGGTAGCCTTGTTGGTCTGACGCAGTTGAAATAAATAAATAAAAATAATAAAATTGTCCAGTAGCACCTTAGAGACCAACTAAGTTTGTTCTGGGTACACTATAAGCTATCTTCAGATATTCTTCAGGTAATATGGTGGTTACAGACCAGTCTCATGCTAACCATACAGCTCGCTACAGTGTGGCAATAAACTCTCTCCCCCTCTACCCCCTGAATTCTTCTCTCTGGAAGGGGGAGCAAAATCAGAATTGAAAATGCAGACACCAGAGTGCTGCACTGTGTTAATTCACAAGGCAGCACTATAGCAGTCACACGTGAAACTTACTCCACTTCCCCTAGCCTTAAAAAGCCGTTTAAAGGCTAGGAAAAGGAAGAGAATAAGAACTGCTATACTAGTAGTGGCAAAGGAAGGGAGAGGAAGGCAGGTAAGCAGAGCGAGTGGGCAGGTGGCCAAATGCTTCCCTAAGGAATTATTTGCAAATCCAGGCTATCCTTTCCATTTTTTCCCATTCTGACCTAATCAGAGGACATCCATACACTAATACCTGTTGAGATCCTGTCCCTGAAGATGGAGCGGATGTTGCTGATAATGTCCAAAGACTTCAAATACTATAGGCTTCGTCTTGATGTATTCTACAAAGGATTCTGTCACTTCCACAGAAATCTATCGAAAGAGACAATAAGCACGGCATCAGTCTGGCTTTATATGTCTTCAGCCAATCAAAAGCCCCAGCCACTGTATCTGACAAGAGATGGATGGCTTAACTCTATTTGGAATGTATACAGGGTCTGATCCAGCTACAGCTTTGTCACATATCCGCACTAACTACCCCCTTACAGAAAACGTCAAAGCTGTGCTATTCTGACTCCCAAGAGATAGAACATGCCCCCCCCCACAACAGTGACAGACCAGGAGGTCACCCATCAGAAGCAGACCCACTTCCACTTACGTTCTGGACGTGATAAAAACCAAGAGGCGCCCCTCGGCCATTGTTTTTGAGAGGTTCAGTAGAGAATGCTTCATCATGTCGATGCAGAAAGCTAGGGCGACAAAAATGCAATCCAGTTTAGCAAAAGAATGCTTTGTCACCTATTCTGGAAGGTTGTCGTGAAGAGAACTACTGCTCCATAGTTTAAAAAGGTTCCCCACCCCACTTTTGCAGGAAGTTTGACAGAGAGGTCAAAATGCTCATTAAAATATGCTGTTGTCCCAACCTCAGGAAAGTTTGCCCACCCTCCTTCCATGCTAGTTAGAGGCCTTAAGGAATTGGAAGCAAAGTCAAACAAGAGGCTCTGGCTAGTAAGTCACACTCCTCTGTGTGTGGACCCCCGGAATGGGTTAGGTTCACCCTTGGACGGCAGTTCCCAAACAGCTCAGAATTTCCAAAACAATGACTAAGACTCTGACCCACAGATACTGCTGTTGCTCACGGCAGGCGAAACTTACTTGAATTGGCAGAAGATGTCTGCATATTCCGGGAGGATGCCGCTGGCTTGCAGCACTGTCACCCGGAAAGTAAAGACGCTTCCCAGTTTTAGGTGGTCGCCAACTTCTTCGGTAAAGCCTTCCATGGCCATCTTGCCATCCAGCAACGAGCCAGACTTCAGGTCTGAAAAAGGGGGAGGATTGACTCATGAGACAGTCAGGGTTTTCCTGCTCCTCAATGTCATGGGGCGCTTTCCCCAAGCAGCTGCTCAGAATGGCATCTGAATTTCCCAAGATGCTTCAAGGACACAGGAGGCTGCTTCATGCCAAGTCAGACTATTAGGGTCCATCCCTGTACTGGCAGCAGCTCTTCAGGCTCAATGTGGGATGGGAGGGAAGGAAGCTACACCCCTGACCATTAGGTCCAGTCGTGGCCGACTCTGGGGTTGCGGCACTCATCTCACTTTATTGGCCAAGGGAGCCGGCGTACAACTTCCGGGTCATGTGGCCAGCATGACTAAGCTGCTTCTGGCAAACCAGAGCAGTGCACAGAAACGCCGTTTACCTTTCCGCCTGAGTGGTATCTATTTATCTACTTGCACTTTGACGTGCTTTCAAACTGTTGGTTGGCAGGAGCAGGGACCGAGCAACGGGAGCTCACCCTGTCGTGGGGATTCGAACCGCCGACCTTCTGATCGGCAAGTCCTAGGCTCTGTGGTTTAACCCACAGCGCCACCCGCGTCCCTCAGGAAGCTACACACCCATCTCTAAATCAGGGGTCAACAACATGGTGCCCTCCAGATGCTGTTGATGCCCCAACTCCCATCAGCCCTAGCCAGTGATCAGGGATGGCAAGAGTTGTAGTGCAAGAACATCCGGAGGGCCACTCGTGCCCCTGCCCTGATCCGCCTGCCTTGCCTTCCCTCCTCTAGTCCCAGAGTCTTCATAATGGATCTGCTTCCAGAAGAACTATGAGGGGGACCTTTTGGCCTTTGGGGTTGCCGTATAAAAAGACTGCAGGGCAGGGGGAGGTATGCTAGGTGCTAATGTTATCAGCTTCGGGGCTATTTTTAGATATGTCTTGATACTTTTGCTTCAGGTTTAGGTTCACACAAATGGCAATGCATATTTTTTAAATCAAGAATTAACAGTTCACTTAAGTGTTGTAATGATAATAAAAAGTATGTGTTGTTATTGTACTGCAGTATTTAGGCCAGGGATGGTGAACCTGCGGCCCTCCTGGATGTTATGTGATACCAGCTCCAGAAGCCAGCATGGTCAATGGTCAGGGATGATGGAGGTTGGACTCCAGCAACAACTGAAGGGCTGCAGGTTCCTCACCTCTGGATTAAAGGCTCCTGGGAGCACCATCTAGAAAGGAGGCTCCTTGCTGTGTCTCTTCATGAGTGGCTGCATTGGCTTTTATTAACACTGATTAAAACCAGGCCCCCCAGATGTTCTTGGACTCCAACTAGCCATAGCCAGTATGGTCAAGGATGATAGGGGTTGGACTCCAGCAACATCTAGAGGACCACAGGCTCCCCATCACTGATTTGAATGGAGGGGAACCCCAGTCTGCATGGGTACGTTGCTTCAATCCTGCACCTAACCCTAAATTCAACGTAAAGCCTCTGTTTACCCTGTCCCACCTTTCCTAAGAGCTGCATCACTTACCCATGTCATTCATTCTGTTGATTTCCTCAGGAGGTGTGATGACCTCTGAACTCTGGCCCTGACCTTCTACAATTCGCAGTTCCTCCAAGGACAACCCAGAACGGGTCATCGCAACCGACGTAAAGTTGCTCTGAGCAAACCAAAAGGGAGAGAGGAGCGATGTTAGCTTTCTGTCCGCTTTCTACACCAAAAGGGACAGGAACACACAGATACAAGAGCTCGTTTAAGTTGCGGGTTACCTTGTTAAAATACTCATTATCAAATGAGATTTTAGCGGTGCCCGACTGCCGAACACCAGATCCATAGTCAGGGGCTTCTTCGTCAGCTAAAAGAACAAAGCATAGGGTGGAATTCAACATCATGTGATTATGATTGCTCCATCAATGTGAGCATTTTGGCCTTCCAGGCAGAACATCTCCCCTCTCTCCCGCCCAAGTGCTGTTTTAGAGGTTCTGCTACCCCCCCCCCGAGCTAATGGGAGGGTGCATGGGGAAACGAGAGGGAGGAAGCCCTACTGCACTAGTGGGACTGGTTGAGCTGGCTCCTGCTAGCACAACCTATTTACTTAAATCCGGCCCTGGGAATGGATACAGCAATCAGATGAGCAATTAGATTTTCAAAGAAACTGTAGTAGACCTTTAAAAAATGTAGAATTCAGCTATTGGTTTACAATACTCAGCTATTCAGTTGATCTTGTTCATTTTATTTATTATTGCACTTATAGCACACCTTTCCTCTAAGGAGCTTGGTTCTTCTGAGAGAAATTGACTGGCTCAGTGAGTTTCATGGCTGAGCAAGGGATCTGAACCCAGGTCTCCCAGGCCTCAATCCGACACTCTAACCACTAGACTGCACTGTATAAATAATTTCACAACCCTGGAAAATATCTTATGTTATTCCTTACTGAAGGACAGAGATTTGAACTGAGCTACCAAAGAAAATCAGCCACCGTTTTCTTAAGTTTGGCGCAAAGGGGGGAAAGCAGCTACTGTGCTCAGCGTTAGATGAATTGTTGTAAACCAGGAGACCACAAGTAGGGTGAACTGGAGAGGCTCTGTCACCAGCATGGGATCGCAAAAGGCAGGGATAGGGAACCTCAGGCCTCTTTAACCAGCCTTTGGGACTCTAACCAGGCCACACACAACACACACCCTGCTTTGCACCCTTATTGGTCCACTTATGCCTGGCTAGAATCTGCCCTTGAACCCTGATCATGCCTCTTGGTTGCCTGGAGGACAGGCAGAGAGGGGATGTGTAGAAACAAGATGATTGTATAAAGATAAATGAGCATCCGCTGCCCCACCTGTTTCTGATTCTAGGAGGCCCCCAGAATCATAGAGTTGGAAGACTGGCAAGCAGGGAATGTGGCCCTTGTGCTGAAAGAAGCTCCCATGAGGAATCATGGAAGAGCAGAGTGTAAGCACAGCACCTTACCAGCTATAGCTTGGACTGCCACACGCAGGAATCCACGCACTTCCCCTTTCTCACTGACCACGGCCACTCTGTGGATGAGTGGGACTGGGTAGAGAAGATTGCTCAAGTAGACAAAGGCCCTGGGGGGTTAAAGGAGGGATATTATACAGAAGCACAAACATTAGAACACTGCTTACAAACTGAAGCTTGCACTTGTCAGCCTGAACAGGCACTGTATTAGGTTTTGGAATCTGCAAACCAGTTTCAACACATTTGCATCAATGCATAAAAACTCAACCAGCCACTCAATGGTAGTGAGTTAGACATGAAGATGTTGGTTTATCAAAGAAGATGTTTGAAATGGAAGAGAGCTATAAACGTGGGGTGTTTTTTTAGCCAATTACTAACATTACTAAGGATGAAAGCTTTATGAAAACATTTCAAGTACATCATGAAAATAAATTGCAGGGGTTTTTTGGTGTTTTTTTAAAGTGTTCACCTTTATTCACAATGCATTCTAAACAGGCAGAAGCACTTTTAAAAGGGGAAATATGATGGGGCTTAATATTGATTTCATCCTTCCATGTGTATTTCAGTGATGTTGCCCAACATCCAAGAATGGCTGTGTTCAGACAACAAGCTAAACCATAGTTTAATGTAATGAGAACAAGCTGCAGTGAGTATCAGGCTCACTACACTCCCTACTACCCTTCCTGCTTACGTTAACTTCAAATAGCTCCTTCTCAGAAGGGCTGTAGCTCAGTGGAACAGCATCTGCCTTGTATGCAGAAAGATCTCCAGGGAGGATAATACTAAGCTAGATGGGGCCAAGTCTGGCTCAGTATAAAGCAGCTACCTATGTTCCTATCTACCTGGACTGTGGCAAACTGTAAGGGGGAAGCTTTATATGCCATAACTGGCTAAACATACTTAAGTGTGAACAGGAATAAAGGCCAGGAAAACATATACTGTAGGCTAGTCGCTTGTAAGGTATTAGTCTATTCTGCCATCCCCATGCCCTTTGCCCCACCAGGCAGACATTTCCTGAAATGAAAAGAATGTGAGCAATGTAAAATGCAAGATTTTATATATATACATATACATAAATTCTACAACAAAAATGACAACAAAATGGCAGTACAAAAGAAAAATAAAATAATAGATTAATAAAGTGCTAGGAGCAAAATGAAAACGTGAAGAACAGAAATAGCCACAACTCAGCACTGGAATAAATCAGTTAAGGATCTACTTCATTTTTTTCAGTCTGCTCCAAAGAGATGGAGACTCCTGAATATGCCAAAAGGGAATGTTGTGTCATTTGTGAGCTTGTAAAAAATGCAACATTTCTATTAAATCAAGTCTGGCTTCATTTTCACTCCCAGTGGAATCAAGAGAGGTTGTACCAGGCAAGAGATTCAACAAGTTACTATGTCATTATTGAACACTAGGAGTGAATAAATATAAGCTTTTAAAACACTTGCCTCTCATGTGGTAGAACAAGCTGCAAATTAAGTCTTGCCCCATCTCTTCACCATTTACACTTGTATACCCTTGCAGTTGAGGGATCATATATCTTTCAATGAGAATTATATCCCCTGCCCTGCTTGAGCAATGGCAATGCTTCTGATGGTTGTAGCCTATGCTTGTCCTACTCAGAGCAGACTCACTGAAATGAATGGCCATAACTAGCTTAGGCCCATCATTTCAATGGATCTTACGCGAGTAGGACTTTGTTGGATACAACACTGAGGTTCTCCCACACTTGTCAACTCTAACACCGACTCCCCCATGGAATTCTCACGGATCCTTAAAATCCCTCTGCCTGGGAGGTTCTCTGCATCGGTGGTGGGGATCAAGGATGCAGAAGCCCTCCCTGCAAAGAAAGGTGGACATATGCAACAATGAAGCTTCATTTTCCAAAGCACATTTAAACCTCTCTCATGGCAGCACACAGTTCATCTAAGGCCTTTTAAAAGGTTGTTAATTAAAAGGTAAGTGGGACCTGCAACAAAATATTGCAGTGAGGGATGATCCTGTTAGGGGCTCCAGACAGTTAGCGCCTCCTCCCACTGTCCCAATCTTCACTGGGCTGTTGGTTGGGGAGCGGGGGTTGCAGAGAAGAAGCTCATCCTCTTCTATTCTCCCCGCCCATAAAAATATTTTTGTACATCTGAAAAATGTGGGGCTCTCCTGAGCACACTGACACCTTCTCGTTTTGAAGGGGCTGCATTTTGGCTCCGTTTCCATCCTTACTCAGCAGCTGAATTTTCCATTAGGAGAACTGATGGTGCTTAGAGCCATGGGGCTATGCACTCAGAAAAGGAGATCTAGTTTTTGTGCCTCCACCCTATTCAAGTGTTTCTCAGCAGCTATATGCATTTTCATAGACACTTCTTGGCTAGAGAACTGTACCGCAAGATTCAGAGAAGTCCAAATTACAAAGGATGAAAATTTCAGTTCAAGTACTGTTTTGGAAAGCAAAAATTAAGTAAGTTCGCCTTTAAATATGAACTGAAATTCTCCCCGAACACCTGTGCTTGCCCGCTAGATGTTGTTGTATTCCAACTCCCAGCAACCTCAGCAAGCCCAGCCAAAGGCCAAGGATTATGAGAGTTGTAGTCCAACAACACCCGGGTCACAGGATCGTCATCGCTTCTTTAAGGTAACAGCCATGATTATGACTATGACTATGACTATGACTATGATCTTTGCAGCAGGAAATTCCATGAAATTACTTCTGCACTGAGTGGAAGAACCTCCTTCCATCTGCCAACTTCCTTCAAGACCATTTTAAATCTAATTTTCTTTAAGGCAACACAGCAGCAGACTGAAAAAGGGGTGAGGGGAGCTATATTAGCAGAAAGGTTGGTGAGGCAGAGTGGCATATTCACACACACACACAAAAACCAAATGAGAAATAAAATTTAATATGAAGATTTGTATCAAAACATAAAGACAACAGAACTCAAAAGAATGATAATGGTGGGTTGCTGTTTTCTTTAGATAAACACAACATCATTTCAAGGATTCTGAGAAAACGCTCCACAGCCGCCACCCCTTTCCACCTCCCCTTCCAGCTTTTATACCCAATGAGAACATCAGGCCTCCACGACAACCCAGCATGCCAAAAGATATGGCCACAGGGACTAGCTCTTTCATTTTGAGCCACAAGATGGCAGCCAAGGCACACACATGCGAAAATGACTGATTTCAGCTGTAAGGAGCCATGGGTAATGGTGTGTAATCTGAAGGGTCTTTATTCCCTGAGGCCAAAACAGAACTAGAAAATAAGGCATCAGGGAATGGGACAGATAGGAGCGAGAACTGTATTCATTCAAATCCTTTTTCTTCCCCACCTACCACAGGCCAACTTTGACAGGTGGGTGGGGCCTCCCAGCTGTTAATTATCTGATGTCATTACAACACCAGGTGAACATTTCAAAGAAGCCCCTATGAAGATACTCTGCCAATTAGTTGATCAGCAGTTGTAGCGAGCTCCAGGGTGGTTCTTTGGAGCTGAGTCTTTTTCCTGCCGAATGCTGGGCATTGTTTGGGAAGAGTGGTCTCATGGGACAAATGTGGACCTATGCCAAATCCAATTTGGCTCACAGGCCAAAGGTTCCTCACCCCAGGGTAGGCCCTCACCATTCCAAAAGAGGGTTCTTGATATTGTGGTCTCTATGAAATAACAGCAGAGTGTCTCAGCTAGACACAGGGAACCCAACCTGAAATCCTAAACCCATGCAGCTCCACGGGATTCAGTGGGACTTACTGTTGAGTAGAGATTGGGGGGAAATGCATTGCCAGGGTCCACTCCCCCACCTTGATTCTGTAGCTCAATAAGGGTGTCTTGGGCACCACTATCACTGACCAATCAAGCTCACAGTGGTAAAAGATATAGGAGCTCAATTCAGATATGACACCAAGGAATGGTTAAAGGAAGCTTAGCTATGGGTCGGTGTGATGCCGGAATTGACAAAACCATGGTTCATTATCAGATGACAATACCAGAAACTATGGCTTGAAGTGAGTTTGCAAACCACTGTTATGCATTTCCTCTGATGCAACTTCTGAACTGACAAACTGTCATTACAATATTGTGCTGCTATGCCTAGCTTGTAGGGCTTCTGAGCTGAGGAGAAATTGAAAGCCGTTCCAAACCATGGTTCACCTGCATATTTCAAACCTCAAACTATGGCTAGCACAAATGTTTTGGTGGGGTGTCTGGGTGGCATTAGTGAAAAGATTTTTCTGCACCCAAGAGACATAATTTTTCTTCTGCAAGTAGAGAGAAGGAACTACAAAGATCACTGTAGCTTTAACCGCTGAATACAAAAGTCCCTCTTTTGTCCTCCTCTAATTTCTGAAGACTTCACCAAGTATTGTCCATACCTTGACACTCACTAGCCTTATTTGCATGTCACAGTAAGCCATAGCGCATGGCATGCCACTCAACCACCTCCCTTTTCTCTCTGCTCTCCTTGGAGCTGGAAGTAGCAAATCAGGTGCACTGGGCTTAACGTGACATATGAACTAACCAATAAAACCTTGGGCTAACCATCACTGCTTGTTTGGAAATAAACTAACCATGAGCATTGGCTCACACTTCACAGTAAGTCAAGGCTTAGGGTTTGTTGCTCCTGGCCCCACAGAGGGCAGAGCAAAGTGGGAGCAATTCAGCATCATACATTTAGTATACTGCTCATTCATTACAAGTCCTGGTTTTATCACTTAGTGAGACATGTGGCCACAATAGCCATGGACGAGAAACTTGGTGCATAGGACTAATGTTGGATACAACCCATTGAAGCTGAGAATCCTGACGCAGAATTCATAATAAATAACATGCTGAAATTACATTATACAACTAGCGGAGGCCTGGATGCACGGAGCTCAGAACACACCAATCACCCATGGCTTGGCTTGAATAGCTCTGGCACCAGCAGTCCAGGGCAAGAGCTAGCCCCCTTTGGCCATTCTTACAGTTAACCTCACCAACCTTCCCACTAAAATGAACCAGGGGGAGCGGTCGTAAAACGGGTCATGCCCATCATTGAAGAGGTCCGATCCCTCCTCAGTCCCTGCATCAGAGCCCGTATCGTCCACAAAGGCCTCATCGTCAAAGTCCTCCATCTCGTCCTGCTGCTCGTCGGCCAGCTCGGTGATGTCGGAGTCGGCCGTGGAGAAAGTGGGGGAGGGCGTGCGATCAGCCAGGCGCTCGTTCACGCAGCCGTGGAAAATGGGGGAGCTAGATATATTGGTGGACGGAACACTTTTGATTAACGCAGGCAAGTGGGGTGGGGGAGAGAAAGACAAGGACAACTTCATTCAACAAAGGAGTTTGATGTGGAGTCCAGCTCACAGCCCACTAGAATAAACTGACAAGCAAAAGTTTTCGGCTGCCTGGAGGAATGGGGGGGGGGCAGGTAAGAGGAATGTGGGGGAAAGGGGCAGTGGAGAAAACCAAGCAGTGCAGGACGGGAAGAAAGACTTCAGAGGAAAGCAAAGGAAACATACTACACAATATATCAGACGCTCGTATGCCAAAACACCCTATTATTTTGAGATCATTGGAATAAGTTTGTGGTAAGATGTCACCATTTCCAGTGCTGCAACTTTCTGTCTTAAAGCAGAATGTTTTATAAGTCACACAGAATTCTGGCAGCAGAATTCTGGACTGTGAAAGGGAGGTGGGGTCATTTTCAGATGCTCTCTCTGCATGTAGTGTGTGTCTTTATATATATTGTATGTTATGAGAGTCTTTTAATCTATTGTTCCTTAAACTATGGGGACTTTACTGAAGAAAGTCTAGGGTTTTGAAGAGCAAAAAAGAGGATACATTTGCTGTCTTCTACTTTTAACTATGGGTCGCTATGATGACTCTCATTTTACAAACCCATAAAAAAAAGGACGTGTCCTGGAAAACGAGGACACATGGCAACCCTTAAAAGTCAGAATGAATGATTTCTTTTTTTCTTCAAGAGTTAGTTTTTTACAAGATATACAAAGGCAAGAGACATTTCCTTATGATAAACATTGAGACAGGAGTTGGGAAATGATCCCCAGAGACTGGTGTGAGCGAGTGGAGCCTGGCTTGCTGAGAGCGCTCCAGCCAAAAACTAGGATTCATTGCAACTGCTACTTAGGAAAACAACCGTATTAATTCTTTTCTCAAGACAACAAACCCAAATTTATTACAGTTCTCCTCTGCCCTGCATCTTGTGCAGGGAATGAAATATAACATGTGAAGTTAACATACACAGAGACGCTCATCTTGCAAACAGACCTGCAAAATCCTGAGCCCACTTTCAAGTTCTGGGCTGTTTCTGCAGGTCAACTCCATATATAAGACCAATAGAACAACTCTGCAAAAAGCATCACCGTCTCCTCTTCATCATCTGAACCTCTTCCAACATGACATTTTCTGTTATACAGGATGATAACACAAGCCAAGTCTGGAGATCCGTAAGACACTGCTTTCCACATTCTACCTACAAGCCTCCATTCACCATCCAAGCTGAAGTCAACCAGCCAATAGAAATTTGTCACCACCTACCTCCCAACAAGTTTGAACCAATGGAATCGATCGTAGAAAGGGTCGCTCCCAGTCATGGTGCTCTCACTATCCTCCTGTGTGTTGGAGGCCATTTCTCCTGCTCGGTCGTACATCTCTCGCATCAGCTCCAGTCTCTGCCTGGAGAGCAGAGGGGGCAAGAAGATAAATGCAGAACCAGAAAGTCCATATTGCATTTAAAAGGTATGAAACTGCCTCATGTGGAATCATGCCATTGGTCCACGCACTACAGTTAGTGCTTGGAGTGAACCAGTTCAGTTTAACCAAGTTTACTGAATTAGTTCCCAAAGTTCTGGCATCCACCTGAAAGTAGTTCCCAAAATTGCCAGGTGAACTGAAAGTGAATTATGTTGGCTTTGGAAGCTGAACTTTGAACAATTTCTAGTTCATCTTCAAGCTCATTCTCTTGTGTGTCCTCTTTATTCTTTAGATTCCGTGAGCCTTTAAGTTTAAAGAACATAATTGTTGGGGGAAATAAATTAAGCAATGCACATGCCACGAATGTCAGCTGGAATATAGTTCCTTTTGGACATGTTGAACTAGCTCTTTTTAAAAACTAACCTTGCAAGCCCTGATTACAGTACTGTCTATTCCAAATGGCAAAGGCACTCTAGGTTCTCAGAGGTGAGAACAAAATGGCCCCCCCTTTTTTAAAAAACTCCTGCTGTTCTTTTATAATCCTGTTATACTTTTAATTTAGGTCATCCTGAGTGTTGTATGCTACTGCCTGGTGGATCACCAGAATGGAAAAGGCAGAGCTGAAATATTTGTAAATTAAATAAAATGCTTCCCAGAAGGGTGACTTTGATGGCAGCCCTAACGTACTTGAGTTTTTCCAGGGACCAATAATGAGTTGCACCATTCTTCAGATCCTGGACTTCCACAGCCACCACTGTCCGAGGGAAAGGGCGGTTGTCCCAGGTCTTCTCCGACTCAGGCGGCAGCAATTCAGGTGGCAATGGGGAGTAGAGCGTGTCAGTCAGGAGGACAAACTGGAACTGTACCTGGAATGGAGGTAATGCACAGGAAAAGAGGAAGCTGCATTATGCTAAGACAGTGCTGCTTACACTGACTGGCAGCAGCTCTCCAGGACGTCAAGAAAGAGTCTTTTCCCGGTTTCCACCTGGAGAAAGTGGGGATTGAACATGGGACTCCCTGTACGCAAAGCAGACGCCCTCCTAACGAGCTACACTCCTTCCCTTAAGGTATAGGTAGCTGCCTTATATTGAGCCAGACCAATTGGTCCATCTAGCTCAGTATTGTTGACACTGGCTGCAGCTTTCCAGGGTTTCAGACTGGGGTCTTTCCTAGACAAACCTGGAGATGCTGAGGATTTAACCTCAGAGCTTCTGCATGAAAAGCAGGTGTTCAGACTGAACTTCAGATAAGACTGGATCTAGAAGTACGTTCTTATATGGCCTATAGCAGGGATCTGGTTTCCTTAAGCAGAAAGACAGTTCCCACAGTTGAGACAAAGCAGGAACAGCTTCCCTCCGTCTCCCCATGGAGAACAAAAATATGCTGAAGGGAGCAAGGGCCATTCTATTAGGGGTCTCTTCCTGTGCTCCCCGCCTTGCCTCCAACTTGAGGACAGGAAAAGGCAGGGAGCACTCAGGTTGACAGAAGATCTGCTTCACAACTGACCCCTCCAAACTCTAGCCATGGTTACACTGACGCCATACATTTAAAGCACATGGCTTTCCCCAAAGAGTCCTAGGAACTGTTGTTTACAAAACTCCCAGCACCCTTAACAAATCACAGTTCCCAGGATTGTTTAGGGGAAAGCCAGGTGCTTTAAATGTATGGCGTCAATGTGACCACAGGCTAAATCTGAACCATGCTGAAGCACCACAGCAGAACTGGGAATTGCAAGGTCATTTGTGATTCTCATATTTACCCTCTGACAAACTTTCAAAGTCAACCAACTCCCCTCCAATTCATAAACCACCCACATTTGTTCTGCAAGATGACTTGACACAGGCATGCATAGCATGCAGTCATATTCAGTCATGAATTCCCCCTACCTTCTTTTTCAGCTCAACGCTGATTGCATTGCCTTCTTTCAAATAGACTGCGTTCCCCCACAGCTGATCTCTTAAGGAAGTAAACTGATGGAACTTCCACTTCCGGAAAGCCCATTGGGCTAATTCATACTCGTGCTGAGTCCAGGGTACTGCAGGAAGGAGAGAAGGTGATTGGGTTCATTTGAACTGAAGACAGGGGCCGATTTCACATGAGCCCCACCCCTCCCAGATAATCTGAGGTCTTGAGTGAGGACCCTTTCTCAGTTTGAGGGCCATGTGGGAGCATATTCACCCAGTGCTTTTCAAACTGCACTGGCTCGCGGTACAGTACAGGGTCAGATTTAAGGTGCTGCTTTTGACCTTTAAAGCCCTTCACGGCCTAGGACCCTCGTACCTATGGGACCGCCTCTCCCAGTATGCCCCACGGAGAGCCTCAAGGTCCATAAATAGCAACACCCTAGTGGTCCCGGGCCCTAAGGAAGTTAGATTGGCTTCAACCAGAGCCAGGGCCTTTTCAACTCTGGCTCCGGCCTGGTGGAACGCTCTGCCTCATGAGACCAGGGCCCTGCAGGATCTGATTTCTTTCCGCAGGGCCTGTAAGACAGAGTTGTTCCGCCTGGCCTTTGGCTTGGAGCCAATTTGATTCCCTCCCTCTCTTTCTTTTTTCCTTTCCTTCTCCTCCTGCGATGAGGCTACATTTTAATATTTTAATGTTTCAATATTTTAATGTTGTATTTTAATTTTGTTTTTAAGTTGTAATCATTCAACTTGTTTTTATTATTGCTTGTAAGCCGCTCTGAGCCCAGCCTTGGCTGGGGAGGGCGGGGTATAAATAAACTATTATTATTATTATTATTATTATTATTATTATTATTATTATTATTATTATTATTTTCTCTCATTTAACAGATAAAGTCATGAGCCCCAGATAAAGGAAATACAGAGGACCACATTTGGCCCCTGAATCTGAGGTTCCCCACCCTGATCTAACTATGTCCAGTTCCTAAAAGAATCAGAGGGAGAGAAACTGTTAAAAATTTCACAGAGTGCAAACTATCCCCCTCAAAAGAGTATACCAGCTAAGAAACTGAGATATGGTTCTCTCAAGCCCTTATCTGCAATATGAAGGTAAAAACCATGGCCTAACCTTACAGTCATTGTGAGGGTTATGCAACATATTGTGCAGAACACAGGAACACCCTGACTGTTTTATGTATTTGTAGTCTACCCTAAAGGGTGGTGATCCCGAAGGGTAAGAGACATATTTCAAAAACCATCCAAGTGATAAATACAGAGAAGTTCCTGGAAGAGATTGTTCTGTGTTAAACTGAAACACTGGGTTGCATCAAGAGGGAAGGAAAGTCACTTTTTGTTTTGTTAAGGTAGCCTTTGTCAACCTGGCACCCATCAGATGTTTCAGACTACAACTCCCATCAGCCCCACCCTGCATGGCTGAGAGTAACAGATGATGGGAATTGTAATCTTTGATAGCAATTCTGTTTATTTCAGGGGTGGTGAATGTGTGGCCTTCCAAATGTAGTTGGAGTCCTAACTCCCATAAGCTCAAGCCAGCATTAACCAACAGTAATGGATGATGGGAACTGTAGTCTTTGATATTCATTTTGTTGACTGTCAGGTTGGTGAAAGCAGATTGAAGAGCTGTGATCATTTCCACAGACACCGTGAACATTTGTGGAGCAGTCTCTCACTCTCTCTGCAACCGAAACTGTCTGAATTCCACCCAGAACTCACCCTCCTCCTCCTCTTCCTCCTCCTCCTCTGTGGTCTCGGCAGCCAATGACCGGGTCTCCACCTGCTTCTGTAAGGCCTGGAGCTTACTCTCATAGTCCTGAAGGGGAAAGAGAAGAGAGCGTGTAGGAGAAGAAGAGACAGACAAAAGTAGAGAGGAGGTGGAAGAACACACACATAACTCCAGAGACAAGAAGGTGACAAAAGATGCAGGCAGAGAAGAGTTCTGGGATAAATGTCTCATCTATCCATTAGGTTGGGGAAAACCAAACAATTTCCATGGGAGTTCAACAGCTGGGAAATTTGGTGGAGCAGGACAAAGTAATATTTGAGTTTGATCTGTGTGGTCTGCTGGAGAAGCCCACGCCTAAACAACAGAAAGTCAAGTTCTGCTCCGTAAGTGGGTCTAAGAATCACTGAGTTGAAAGGCCTTTCAAGGGGGACAGATGGGAGTGGTGAAAACAGGGCTGGACTGCAGGGAAAAAACCACATTATATTTATCTGGAGTCTGCCTCCCCTTTCTCCCTGATGCTTGGCTGAGCATTGGGCCACATAAGATTAGGCAGTGGGTCAGAAGCAGCTCAGGGGGTACAGATTTCACTCTTCTGAACAAGAAACAGAAAAAAATGCACATTGATTGGCGACTATGCATACTGACTGCAGAATGTACATATTAATTTGATATATGTATGTTCCCTAAGGCCTGTTGGGCACTGTGCAGAATGTCTGAAGAAAGTGCAAAATTCAGCAGAGATATGCACATTTTCCAAGGCTGTTGGAGATTATATACATTGACTGGGAAATGTGTACAACTTTCTCTTCATATGGAAGGATTCTGTGCACATTCTCCACAAGGCTTGGTGAATGTGCACAACAGCTGGTTGTTTCGCACATTAACTGCAACTTACATTTCCCTTAGCATGCAGATTTCATAAAAGGATTAAAAATCCTCTCTTGTCTCTCCTTTCAGCTAAATATGCTCAATTCCTTTCCTCATAGTAGATTGTGTTGTATCCAACTAAGTTATACTCAGAGCTGACTTACTGAAATTAATGTACCTAAGTGAATTGTGTCCATTAACTTTAATTGGCCTACTTAGGGGTAGGACTAGCACTGGAGACAACCCTTAGTCTCCAGATCCCTCACCAACTTGGTAATGTTTTGAAATTGGTCTGCTATTATTTTCTATGTTGTTTTTAGCTTTTTATTGCATTTTGTACATAACCTTCAGACGTGTGTGGAAGGCGACTGATAAGGAAATACGAAAGAAATGGACAGTGTGAATTTTGCCTTTGTACAGTAGGCTAGTTTCTACACACACAGACACAGAAACAGACACACACCTCTATCTTCCATCCAAACAAGCAAGAGGCATGATCAGAGTTCACGGACACATTCCAGCCAGGCAAAAACACACAAGGAGGGTGCAAATCAGGGCTGGTAAAGGATGTGGCTCACAAAGGTTGTGGCCTGGGGAAAGCCCCTAGGGTCAGACAGAGAGGACTGGGAGGCCTGTGATGTCCCATACCTGCAGTTCAAGGAACTAACTGAAATTAGTATGGATAGGCAAACTATTTAAAAAAGGGGTTTTTTTGTCGACAACTCACTTCAGGGAGCTTATTTTTGCTACTTTAATATTGTGAGGAATGCAACGAGAGAGGATGCAGGGAGAGTTGGGGTTCTCAAGAACAGCATAAAATGAAGCTGGGTTTGCTTAGCTTGGATAAGAAGAAACAAAGTATCATTCAAAACATGTGAAGGGTAGGCTTAAGGAGGAAACAAATGTATGAATCGTCTATTATCTACCTAACTCCATTCTGTCTTTTTGGCTTCTAAGTAATCAAATCAGGGTCTTTCCCCAAGCCTGGTGGCGCTGGGACCTTCCGTACAACAAAGCAGATACTCTAAAATGGGAATTGACTGTTCCAACCCCATGGAGAAGAAATGATGGGTTCAACCAACAGAAAAGGCTTAAGCTAAATGTTGGGAAGGTATTATTTAGTAAAAATGTATTCCAAAATGCATTTCCCTAAGGTGTGGTGAGCTATCTCTAAGACTAGAACAGCAAGGTAGTTGAGATGTTGGGCTTGATTTTTGGAGGCACCTTCAAAAATGGAAACAAAAGATGGGCTAGACAGAGGGCTCGAGTTCTCTTCCAGATGTGCATTACTAGAGAGAAGAGTGCATAGTTATTCAGTATGGACAGCACCACAGTGGAGAACCTGTGGCCCTCCAGATATTATTGAACTCCCCTCATCCCTATCCAGCCATATTGCCCAGTGGGCAGGGATGAGAGGATTCATAGACCAGCAATATCTGGTGCACCATTGGTTTTCCATCCTTGGGACAGAAGGACTTGCTTCTGCTAGGATGGAAAGGTACCTGTGGCCCTACCGGTGTTGTCGAACTAGAATTCCCATCCTCCTTGACTGTCAGGCAAGGAATGCCCAGAGTGAGGAATTACCGTATTTTTCCATGTAGAAGACTAGGTTTTTTTCCTAAACAATAATGTCCAGAATTTGGGGGCGTCTTATACATGGGGGCTACCTCCCCCCATTTTCTTAAATCAAAGTCCTCCAAAGTAGGGGGCATCTTATACATGGGGTCATGTTACAGACAGGAAAATACGGTAACTCTCTGTTGTCAAAAGTACAATTACAAGTTAGGAAAAGGCATGTCCATCAGTCCTATGCCTCTCAGCTACTCCTAGGTGTGCACCCAATAAGACAGTTGCTGCAAAATAAAAACCCTGCCTCTAACCTCCTTCACCCAAGCTGTGTGCAAGCAGGCGAAGACGCCACCAGCAAGTAACCTGTTTCTGCACACACACACCGCCAATCAATCCTGGTGGGGGCAGGAGGAAGAGATGTGGAAGCCCTTTGCACCAGACTCTCTCTCTCTCCTCCTGCACTTGTTCTTCACTCTCCAATTGGCCGTTTCTCCTGCCTCTGACTCTCATCTCCTGACTGTTTCAGGCTCCCCCAGACCGATCCCATCTTCCAATTCAGTCTCCACCCCACCCCTTTCTCCTGGTGCCCACTCACCAGTATCCAGCTACTATTCCTCCACTGATGGGAATTGAAATTCAGCCACGTCTACTGGGTCACAGTTCTAACCTATTCTAACCAGTTAGAACCTATTTAGAACCCTCAAGCACATATCAAATTTTCACATACTTCATAAATCAGAAGTTAAAAAGAAAGCTATAAGCTCTGAATACCTTAATGTGCAGAAAGAGTGGGTGTAGTTTCTCCCTCTCTCTTTTACACACATACACACACATACTTTGCATACAGAAATGGCTCTAAGCTATTAATAACAAAAAGGGCACAGAGGAGGGGAGGTTTGATTTCCCAGACTCCCAACAAAAAAGGCAGGCAACATTTCATCAATGGAAGGAAATAGCCTGGTAAGGTAAGCCTGTTTCCTGGCAACGCTCGATAGTTAATCTAACGGGTTTGCTTGGCTTCTCTGAGGCACACGAAGATGGAAAATAGTACATAGCCCACAAATGTTTGCATGGCAGGATGAGACGACAGAAAGCTTAGCTGAAAGTCTGGATGATTTATGTATTATGTATTTAAGGTAATTAGCCCAGCTTCTTTCAAAAAGGGTGAAGGGGACCCTGGTTTTGATATTTAAACTGGTTCTGTTCATTTGTGAGATTTGGTTACAGCCTGAATACAAAGGAACATAGGGAAGTATCAGATGTTAATCCTGCTCACAGAAGACACATTAAAATTAATGGAAATGATTTACTTAGATCCATTAATTTCAGTGGGTCTGCTCTGAGGAGGACTTAGATGGATTCAACCCACAGGGTTGCTCCATCTAGCTCAGTATTGTCTGCACTGACTGGCAGCAGTTATCCAGCATTTCAGATGGAGCTCTCTTCCAGCCCTACTTGGAGATGCTAGGAATTGAACTGGGGACCTTCTCTGGATGCAGAGATGCTCTAACCACTGAACAAAAGCCCTTCCCCAAAACACACCATTGGGCTTACAAAAGCACCCCACACCTGTCAATTCTGGGGCAGATCTGACCCTTTCCCACATATTAGACAACACCTCCCAGTCCACCCCTTACAACTCAGAGAAGACCAATATATTATGCAGAGGGTGAAAGGGTATTTTGACAGGGGTGGGTGTGATATTTTTAAAAGTTCTCCCACCCTACACATACAAACAACTAAAACCCCACCCTGAAATGCTACATGTAATCTGCCAGCACAGTTAGCCAACTGCTATGCTAAATCTCTCCCCCTCCCCCATCTTTGTTTACCACACAGATGAAGCTTTTAGAAGCTTTTAGAATTTGTAAAAATAGGAAAAGTAACAACAATTCAGAAATCTATTGCCTGGGACTGATTTCTAGGTTCTTTGTAATATGTTGATCAGTTCCTGATCACAATCCACCAAGGTCAATAGAAACAATGACTCCAACACAATGAGTATGCAGTAATTAGACATAACCCACTAATGACTAACTTAGTGCCATAGTTTCAATGGATCTTGTCAGAAAAGGACTTTAGTTGGATTCACCCCACTTCATTGGAGCAAGAATACTGGAGCAGGATGGACCCCTTTAAACGAAGAGGCACCTTTAATCAAGGTGGAGCTTAACAATTGACACAGAACTGCTGATAAGGCTCAGTCAAAGGATAACTGATGCTGAAGCAACATCTAAGCTCTGCTCCCCTTTACTATGCAGCCTGAGCCCTGCACAGGACAGTTTAGGTTTGTTTCAGTTCAAAGCAGGACAAGGTAACTGTGCATTGATCTGCTGCCCATCAATGTCATGGGACACCCCTCCACATTGAAGGGGCCAAGCGGACGGGGAGCAAGTTCCATCTACCTTTCTCCATGTTGTTTCATTTCAAAGGAAACCTTCTGCCCCCTAACAGGGCTTCTAAAAAGAAAGCAAATGCTTTTAGATCCCAACCAAGACAACACAAGACTTACAAGAGTATTTCATCATTTATTGAAAGCACTTGTTAAAATGCACAAGCAGTTCTGCTTTTCACAAAATGCAGAGTTTTGCTTTTTTTAAAAAAATTAAACCCCCCCTTTTTTTTGGGGGGGGAAGCAATAATAAATGGAC